ACGCGAACATGACCGCTCTGTCGTACATGGCATACGTGGTATGCCGATCCATCTACAAAGCTTGGTCAGGATTCGCAAAGTGGGCGACTATGCCGTTGTTTCAGATGAGGGAAAGTTTCGCGCTCGGCCAACGCTATGATGTGCTTGGAAAGTGGGGATCTTTGGCAGCAGTGGATAAGGAAACAGGTGTGAGCAGGGACGTGACTGATGAGGAGATCCTTCGCTTTGCAAAGGAACCTGAGAACCTCAAACAGTATGATCCCAACGGGACTTACACCTTGAAGCGCTTCCGGACGAACCAGATGCTTTCTTTACTTGTACGTGGAGCCAACATGATGGGAATTGGCAGGGACAACTTCAGCCCTACTACTTACTTGAAGAGCGACAGGGATGAAGATGTAAAGGCAATGCACTTTTGTTGCCTGAACGTCCTATGCGAGGTGATCCCAATGGTGACGGGACACCAACAATTCTCAGTGCTACGACCAACGCCAACTGGACCGGTGGACTTCTTGTACATCGACCCTGTCGGTATTCTGCTGACTCATTCTGATCAGTCAGTCCAGACCATTGCCTTGCTAGTGGACCACAGCGTTCAAATGCCTGCGCATTTCATGGACAGACTGAATAGATCCAAGACTGAGAGACAGCAAAACCCGACGACAAGACGTACAGAAGCCCTACACCACATTTCGGCCGCTGACTATCTTCCTCCAGGTGGTACTTCCATCCTGGACACGCCTGTTACTACGGAGGAACGTGAAAGCGCTTCTTCATCCAAGGGACCTTCAAAAGGGCGTGGAAGAACCGGAGGCGAGCAACATGGTGGCTGGAACACCAATTCCTACCACGACTACATCGCCGCCAAAGGCCGAAACAAAGGCAAGGACAAGGGAAAGCCAAGGAACCCATATCCAGAGGAGAACCTCCGGCCCTGGGAACGCGATCCTACGTCAACGCGAAGATGGTGGCGAGACAACGCCTGATCTTCCTCGCCTATCAGTTCGTGACCTCTGAGCTTCGCCCGTGGAATGCCATCGCGAATGCTTCTTTCTTCGGTGACGCCTGATTCGTTTGTCATTTCAGGGGATCGTTACTGACGTAGATGAGTGTCACAACGTTTCTAATTGGGATACAAAGCTCTGATTTTCAATGTCAACGTTGCGGCGGAATTTTCTTCTGTCCTATCGTGCCATCTTCCGGGTGAGCAGCGTCGGAGACGCAACTCATGGGGGGTGCGAACGGACTGCGATGCCTTGTCTAGTTCTAAGGTGTCACTATAAGAGCTGTGAGCAAGACCGTGTAAAGTGCAAGAGAAGGGGGCACGCTACGCGTCCCTCGACTCTAGGGGGCATGCTACGCATCCCTCGTCTTTACCTTTCTATGTGACCGCCAACGCAACGTTTGGCTCAAGTCAATGCCCATAGCTAAGTGCTATATGTGTCTTCTATCCTGAGCAATCAGAGCTATCCCGTTGCACAGACGAACCGCCGCCGGCAGTGAGTGCAAAAGGAACGGCCGCCGGTTCTGCCTGCATAGGATCGCACGTGTGGAAGTACGAGAGAGAGATAGGGTCCAGTCTGTGGAGAGTGCTAGCCAGCCACACCTACATTCATTACAGCTCTGGTGGGGAGAGCAGCAACCAAGTCGAGATCAATCCCCCACGCAGTAATATAATGTAATATAATGTAATATAATGTAATATAATGTAATCTAATGTAGTATAATATACTGTAATATACTACAACAAAATGTAATATAATAAAGAAATACAATATAATATAAAAGATATAATATAATATAATATAACAGAATAGAATATCATATAATAGAATAGAATATCATAAAATAGAATATCATAAAATAGAATAGAATAGAATATCATATAATATAACAGCATAGAATAGAACATAATCGAATATAATACAATATAACAGAACATCATAGAATATAATAGAATATCATAGAATATGATAGAATATAATATAACATAAAAGATTATAGGATAATATAATGGAATTTAATAGAATTGAAAAGAATATAATATAATGTAATATAAGAGAATAGAATAGAATAAAATAGAAAAGAATATAATATAAGAGAATATAATATAAAATATACAATATATAGAGTCTATATAGTTTGTTCATATATGTGTAGAGTTTATTTATATATATAGTATATATAGTTGTATAGTAATATATCTAGTATATATAGTGTATATAGTATATAGTATATTAGGTACATAGTATATATATAGTATATATATATATATATACAGATATACATAGAGTTTCAAGTTTCTATATATATATATAGTATTGTAATAAGTACAGGAGATATAACCTTAGTATATATAGTTTATACAGTATATATAGTATATATAGTATATTTATAATATATACATATTTATATAGTATATGTACTCGAGTTAGTATATATATAGTATATATAGTATATATATTAGATATAGTAGATATTATAAAATTGTATGTATATATATATATAGTATACATAGTGTGAATAATATATATATATATATATATATATATAGTATATAGTATATATATATACACACACACAGAGAGAGAGAGAGAGAGTACATATGTGTGTATATAAATATATACATATATATATATATATACATATGGAAGGCCTATTATTTTGGATCTTGTTGTTGAAATTTTTGTTTGGTGTTTTTCCATGGTTTTCCTTGGGGAAACACTATTTTCCTCACGTTTTGGACAGATTTGGTGCTTTTCTTGGTTTTTTCCACCTGAAACGAAAAGAACCCAGGAAGACAGAACGAAACACCTCAGAACAAGGACCAAAGCAAGGAAGAAGAACAGAAAGAAAGAAAAGATAGAAGGAAGGCAGACGGTTGGAAATTCAGGTTCGGAACCCAGGTTCAAACCTGGGTTTGAACCTAGGTTCTAATTCGGGTTAGAACCCAGGTTCAGAACACGGATTTTCTCGGGTTGTTGATTCAGCGGGGTTAAGCGCGAAGCAACACAATCAATCATGAATGACTTGGAAGTTCTCTTGAGCCACGAAGTAATCAACAATAACGTGTTTGCCAACCGGTCGTTTGAGCCGCCACGAAATAAATAAAACCGTGTTCGCCAACACAAAAAAAGAATAAAACCAGACAACACTGCTTCAGGGGGGTTTAACGTGAAGAAGACAAAATCAATCCTGAAGGATTTAAAAGGTTTGCAAATGGGGGGGGCTGCGCCCCCCCCAACCCCCCCGCTTTTTTTAGACTAAACTCCCCCGCTCTCTAAAGCCACACAAGAAAGGGAAAGCCAGACAACCACGCTCCAGGGGAGTTTACCGCGAAGAAAGCACAATCAATCCTGAAGGGTTTAACAGCTTTGCAAATAGGGCGAGTTCCCCCCCCAAACCCTCGCTGTTTTAGACTAAACTCCCCGCTCTCTAAAGCCGCGAAGAAATGAACATAAACGTATTCGGCAACACACAAGAAGGGGAAAGCCAGACAGCCACGCTCCAGGGGGTTTAACGCGAAGAGCAGCAACAACAACAGCAACCAAGACGACGACCACGACGACATCAACGACCCCACCACCACCAACGACGACACAACGACATCAACGACATCAACGACACCACCACCGCCACCAAGGCAAATAGTCTTGGAAATGGCTGCATTTCCCATTATTTTTTCTTTAGTTTTTCGTTGATCCCTGGATCTAATTTGTTTTTGATGATGAGTTTTTTGATGCCTCACCCCGTCCACAGGGATCCTGCCCCTCGAAGCGCCCGCGCTGTGGTGCGGCGCGACCCCGATGAACCCTCTACAGGGATTCTGTGTGTCGAAGCGCTGGCGCTGTGGTGCGGCGCAAATTCTTTACGTCGCCGATTAACCCTCTACAGGGATCCTGCGTGTCCAACCTGAACAAATCCTTGGCCGCACCTCCGAAAAAAGAGGGTTGGCCGCACCTCCGAGAAAAAAAAAAAAAAAGCCTACCATAAACCATACTTAGGACCCTTTGGGAGTTAGTTTTGGGGTTCAGGGGTTCAGAAGCTTGGGGCTTAATTCTCAATGGGTGCTTGGAATGGTGAAGTCCTTCAGTCATAGGGACCCTTAGAGGCTAGGGGGAGGGCGGGACTATACTTCCTCAAATAGGCCTTATGAGGTCCTTGTTATGCGCATTAAGGCCAAATTCAAGGGGTGTTTGGGATGGCGAAGTTCTCTTGGAGGTCCACGGGTAGCTATAAGTAGGGTTATAAGGGGTTTAGGGTTCCTTAAGGGTTTTGTAGGATTTAGGGTTTAGGGTAGTTATAAGTAGGGTTGCAAGTAGGGTAATTATACGTATAACCCATATTAGGGGACTTGTAACCCCATTGATAACTACCCCTGAACCTCCAAGTAGGATGCATAGAGAGTTCTCTGTTCGGGAGTGTTACTCTACGGTCTGGAGCTTTTAAAGATCTTCAAAGTCGCATCGCAGTGAAGGCCGTAAACTTGTTAGGAACGCTGTCGGATACATACCTCTAAGGCGCATTTAATTAACGCAAAGCCACTGTGTCCGAGCGTTTCGAAAACCGACGACTCAGGTTTATGGGGCTTAGAATATATGGCTCGTCGGGTTTCCGGTGATCACCAGCTTTCAGGCATCCGGCGTTGTGTGCACGTCGGGTTTACTGCAGCAGGAGCAGTTGGATCAATAGGTAGGCTGCATGAATTTGGGCGACTGTCGAGACCGTTTCTAGGCACTTCAAAGGTATCTTTCGCGACATCGGAGGAGCAACAGCAGTTTCCAAAGTGCTACCACTACCTAATCATACAAAAGAACTCGCTCCGGCGAACTGCATAATATACATAGCAACACCTATGCATAAAAGAAACCACAAAGGAGATTCACTAAGGAGAATTGCATAAAGGATAAGAATTCCTATATAAACATACAAAGAAACCACTAAGGAGATTCGAGCTGTTGCTTAAATTCGGAGCATGATCGCCTGCCTTCCCGCTGCAGGTTCAGCAGCATTTCTGCAGGGAGGCGGGCCCGAAATGGGGTCTCTAACCCTGAACACCCAAACTGCCTCCCAAAGGGTCCTAAGTATGGTTTATGGTAGAATGTAGGGCTTCTATAAAGGTTCCATTAAGGGCTTAGGGTCTAGGGCTCCTTTATATGTATGTTTCATGGTAGAATGTAGGGATATCGGGAATTACTATTATGATTTGGGGAAGTATCCCCCATAACAATACCTAGGACCCTTTGGGTTGGATTACCTAGAGTAACCACGGTACCTTGAAGAAGACAAACGTAACAATCTTTTGAATGGGGTCATATCATGTTATATCCCATGTTGCTCTAGGCTGTGCTTCTGGCTGTACTACGCAATTACTCTCTGGAGTCGGTTGGGGTTGCACAGGTGGAGGGCCATTCGGAAGTACTTGGGCTCCGTTGTCGGATTCCAGCTCCGATGTCCTTCAAGCCCTGCACTGCCAATCTCCTCCCGGGGGGTGAGGGTGGGGGTGGCTCCCCGTCTCTTCTTTTCGACCCCGAAACCGAAGATCCGCGGGCTTAAACGAACTTCAGGGTGTCTTTACGGATCCTTTTAGAGGCGGTTGTTGACGTGGGTCTAGGGTCGTTTAGCGGGGGTTAGAGTTCAGAGGGTGTTTGGGAGTTTTAGGGTTTAGGAGGTTTAGGGTTTAGGGTTTGTTTTGTTTTAGGAGGGTTAGGGTCGAGTGGGTTTAGGGTTCAGGAGATTCCGGGTGCAGAGTTTAGGGCGTTTAGTTTACTGGGGTTGGTTTGGGGGGTCGAGGATGTAGGAGTGTTAGCGCTTGAGTTTAAGGGGGTTTAGGGTTTACGGGTTTTAAAGTTTTGGGTGTTTCGGTGTTCTTTTCGGCTTTAGGATTTAGGGAGGGGAGCTTTGGGTTCTGAGGGAGGTGTCTAAAGAAATCTAGGAATGATGTACCGGACATAGTCTTGCAGTACAGGGGTTAATAAGATTAGGGATGATCTTCTCCCAGAGTCCCCATTATATGCTTCTGGTATACCTTAGTTAATTTCATTATTTCTGGTATACGTTAGTTTGAAAACATGGTTCTACATTTTCAGGCCCGTTGACCGTTGTAATTGCTGCACCGACCAGGATTATGACATGGGCCTCCAGATGGTGGAACAGCTGTGGGGCTGCGTGGTTTCCTGGCAGTATAAGTCTTGATCAAGAACTGTATAGCTACTTGAATACTACTACTGCTGCGATCTTTGCTAACAGTCCGCACCTCACTCTAAACCGGTAGACCCGAAGCGCTACACCCGAAATCCGGCGCGAGCCTGGAGCCCTAAAGTCTTCCCGCCGCACCGCTCCTTTGATTTGGTTTTGGTTACCTTAAATCCTAAGACCTAAACCCCAAAAGTATGTAGAATAATTGCCTTTTATCAGTATTAAGCCATTATTTTACCTACTTTGGGGGGTTTAGGTAAGACCTAAACCCTCAGGTTTAGGGGCTTCAATCCCTGAAGCTCATCGCCTCTCCACGACAGCAGGCCCTAAATCAAACAGTTGAAAAACCTAACACGGGCCGACAGCAACTTGTTACTTTCCCGGTGAATCTGAAAGGCCTGTGGACTTGCGTGGGTAGGATCTCGAGGAAGTGTAAAAAGAGCTTCAGAACACTCCCCCTCGCACCGACGTACGAATCAAGCAGCTTGTGGAACTCTGTCAACTCACCCTTGAAGCCTGCCTACCACCCCATAATTGGGCCTTCATGTTTCAAGCCCGCCTACCACCCTATAATTACCCTATCCCTCCAAGGACCTCCTTAGACCGCTTAAGGACCCCAATAAGGTCCGTAGAGGCATAGGGTTAGGCCTCGAAGCCTAGAAACCTCCGATTACTTCGTCCTCAACCCCAGGTCATCGTCCTCTGGACTTTTGTGATCTCTTACACGTTTTGGCTACTTCTCGCCACTGCAGAGAGCTTGAGAGCTTTGGAGCTGGAGCGGCCTGGCTCCGAAATGGGGCTTCCAGAAGGCTTGTGTGAGGGTGCTGTGAGGGTCTTTTTGCGGTTAGTTTCCTCAATGCCTTTCGAGACTCCAAGGGGGACTTCGGGGGTCCAGGGTGCTTAGGTTTAGGATTTGGGGTTTTGGGGCTTCTCAGCCTTGGTCGAAGGCAAGTAATCCGTTTCAGCTCTTGTTGTTTGCCATGATCTAGCTGCTCATGAAGCCTTCCATGCTAAGCTAGGATCCTAGAAGGATGCACATCAAGGCCTTTACATAGCCGGATCCCGCGTTTGCCGCCCAGTATATAGGCCGAGGATGTCGAGCTTGGAGGCTTCGCTTGTGTGTTGCATTTTACCTATGATGCTTACATTTTGATATGCCCCAAAACCCGAGTTCTAATCCTTAAGGCTCCTGTATTACAGCTCAGCCCGGACGTCTGAAGGCTGAAGTTTCGGAAGCTGGTAGTCGAGCATTTTGGACCCAGAGGCCTTTAGGGTGCAAGGCTGCGGGTGTTAAGTTCACCGTGTTGAGTCTTGACGGAATTACAGGGAACTCCAGAAAGTTGGAATATGGTTTCAGGGTAGGATACCCTATAATTTACCAAAAAGGGTTTAGGATAATCATATTCCAACTTTCTGGCTTTTACTGTAGTCTTGGAACTCGAAGCCTCTGACTCTGAGCCCCAAACCGTCCCCGTGATTATGCGGAACGGTCTGAGGCAAGTGAACCAAGCTGAGAAGCTACTTGAGCAGCTGCATCTCGATCGGAGTTTCGCGGCGTTTCGGGCTTGGGGTGCATGAGAAGGGGAGGCGGTGAGTTCGCACAAGTGCTTCGCAGAGTTATTTATGATTTCTTGCTCTAGTCTTCGGGAACTCGGTTTTGTTCACGGTTTAGGGATATTCGTTTTTGATGGTTTGACTCCATATTTGTCTGCTCCACTTTTGAATATCACAAGTCGGTAGACGGCACGATCATTCGAGATCATTCCTGTGCTGCCTTGGTTTCAATAAAGCGAAAAGGACCCAGGAGGCATCAGTATGCGGCATACGTAATAAGTATCTCCCAGTATGTAGCACTTACACTACTACAAATCCCGGAAATTCTGAAGAAGACAATTGAGCTTAAACCAAACGACACTTCACCTCAACGAACGCCTGAACCCCAAGACCCCCTAAACCCGAAACCTTAAAGCCTCAACACCAAGCACTGAACCCCTAGAACCGCAGAGCCTCATCCCTGAAGCCTAAGCAAAGCCCACAACCCTAAACGCCAGAATCCCTGCTTTACCCTTCTAGAACCCTCCGGAAACTAGATTTTCTACAGTTCTATAGATTCGAAGAACCCAAATGCAAAGCCTTAATCCAACACAACTTCCACCTGCTGATCTTCCTGGACAGTCGTTCTAACGACTAGAAAAACCGACAAAGCAGACCCTCAATCCAACACCGCTTCCACCCCCTGACCTTTGATAGAAGGAGTGGGAATCCCAATCAAGACCCTGACATCAAGTCTCAGGCCGATCTGCTGGGCTCATTTTAGTAAAGGGATTTTGTGGATCAGTTCATAAGAGTATATCCCTATGTTTTTTTAACGTTGGGGTGGGGAGGTTTTGGGTTCTGGGTTTCAGGGTTTGGGGTTTAGGGTTTGGTAGGGATGCAGCTCTAAGGGATTTGAGGATTCAGGCTGTAGGATATAGAGGCTGAATTTAGGGTGTGAGCTCCAGGGGTCCAGAGATTCTGGATTCTCTAATGTTCCAGGGCTACATGGAGGGACTTGAATGGTAAGTATAGTTGCAGTAGTTCTTACGGTTCGCCACTCCCAAATATACGTTATACGAGGCTGCTTGAGGGGTGGATAGGACATCATTTGGGCTTGGGGTGTGTTTTTGAAGAACGACGCTGGGTTATTATACTTGAAGCACTTCTTCTGGTCACGCTGTGGCGCATGGACTCGATGTAACATACCTATGGCGTTGCGGTTTGGGGAGTTGTGGCTTCGGGCGGCTGTTTCGCAGTAATTCCTCTGAGCAACTCTTTTCCTGAGGGACCAAGTGACACGTATAAGTAGGGGCCCTATACCCTTCTACTATGAATACCTTTATGATACATGAACCTCAAAGCGTTACGGTAATTTTCGTCCTTAAGCTTGCTTCAAGATTCAGGGTTAAGGCTTGGCAGCTTCGCCCCGAAAGCATAGATGATTTCCTTGCCGTGTTCCTACGGACAAGCTTTAGGGTTTCAGCTTCCGGCAGTCGGGCATACATGATGCAGGGCTGCCCCCCCCCCCCCCTCCCCCCCCCATCCCATGGTATCCTTCCCCGCCGCCCCCCCTGTGGTGTGGGGCCTGTGGTGGTACTCTTTTTGCCGCGACGTTCTTATGTGTTACTCCTTGTCTTCCCTCTTGCTGTGGCACCGGTGATACTGCTCAAGATGTTGTGCTGCTCTAGACCGGGACATGAGTCGACAATCAGACCATGCTCAACATCATCCTTGTCGTCGTCATCTTCATGATTAACACCTTCAAAAGAATATCTGCACCATCACCATCGCCATACAACCCTCATAATTCAGCATTGCAATTCATGTCAGATGCTGGAAACTACTGAGCCGATTCCCGCTTTCCGCACACGGCAGGGCATGTACTGCGACACTCCCGATCCGCGCACAAAGTCAAGGGGCGGGCAAGGTGCGGTGCGGGCCGGGGGGGTGGGCCGGGGTGCAGGGTGGGTGGGCGTGCAGCAGCGGGGGGGTGGGGGGGGATACCATTGGGGGGGGGGGGGGGGGGGGGGGGGGGCGGCCCGGGACCCGAGAGCATACATCCTAGACCTAGACACTGAACACCTCAGCGCCAAATCCTACACCCTAGATCCTTGTACTCTTGTTATATCAAAAATCCAAGGGTAAAAAGGAGGGACCCTTGATAAGGACCCCTAGGTATATACCCTTAATATATAGCTATTACATACCCATTATATAGCCCATTATAGGGTAGGGGTCAAAAAAGCGTTGGGCTCACAAGCCCTATGCAGTTGAAGTCCGAAGATCATAGGATGCCACCGGAAGCATGATGCCGGGCTTTATTGCAAAAGTGGCTCTACCTGGGGTTCCAAAAACCTACTGTGTTGCGGGGTTATATACCCTATAACTAAGGGGTCATGATAGGGTTTAGGGTTTAGGGGTTTAGGGTTTAGGGTTAAGGGGTCATGACCTATGTTGCAGGATGTCGGGATGCAGGTATGGCTCTTAAGTGAGAGCCGGGGAATCTCAAGGATCTGCAGTTTTGCACGTGTCTGACTGTCCATCTTCTTCGCAGAGTATACCCAACACATATGTACATATACTTAATCCTATACTTAAAGCAGGTTCTTTTGTAACAAGCAAATATTCTTCTATACTCCAAAAGGGCCTTTTGTAACAAAATCCCTTCAGGAGGGATCTACTCTCGGGATCCTTCCAGGGCTCCGGGTCTTGGGCCGTAACACAACAGAGCCCCGAATCCTACAACCCTTTAGACCCAAACTAGATCCATAGTCCCTACACCCTCAGAGATAGAAAGCGGGTAATTCAGTTTCCCTAAATCCCTGAAGCCCGAAACTGCTAAAACCTGAAAGCACCGAAGGAAAGGAACGCCCTTTGCGTCGCTGCCCAGGTGAACGAAGGGCTCGTGAGCGTTGCAGAGCTGTCCCGGACGGTTCGGGAGCCCAAAGGGAGCTCACGTGTTGGTTGTTTGGAGTTCCTACAAGGGGCTTATAAGGGTTTAGGTTTCAGGTTTTTGTATACGAGTTTAAGGCTTCTTATGAGGAGCTTCTATCATTCATGAGGAGTAGTACATGTTGTGGTTGAGGATATGCGATAAAGGGAGGTTTTCTACGTTTAGGGAGGTGAGGTATTTCAGTCCTAGTCTCACGGTGAACGCATAGACACTACAGTGTCTAAGAAAAGGTGTTTGAGTCTATGGTGTAGCCTAAGGTCTTCGGGCGCTTTGCCCACTCTTCGGCTTTGGTGCTTCGAGTTTGGAATAGCTTGGCTCCAAGTGACTGAGGGTAGCTGTTGGGCTTGTGCATGTTTCTGTCGGAGTCTGCTCCTCTGGGGTGTCTTCAAAAAGCGAGATCTTGTCATGCCACGAGGACTGCAGCGAGAAGTTAATGACTGAAGCTTTTAAACATGGGACTTGTTTTCAACATATCTTGTTCGTACCCCGACCCTAAAGCTTAGGGCGTCTATCTTGTGATTGCGATGCGGGCCTCCGCATGAAACCTTCGTAATTCTGATAGAACCATTCAAAGCCCTTAGCAACAGAGCCATCGATCAAACGACTAGTCCCTACACCCGGCTTCGACTTGTTTGCGATGAGAATAGCCCGTCTGATAGCAAGTACCTACGCTAATTTGGGGCGGGCTCCTTGCTATAACTGTAGTATAATGAGCCCCAAGACCCTATTCTAATTATTAAGGCCCCTATATCATAGACCCCTACTATAGATCCCTTATAGAACCCTTTGAAGGAACCCTATTCTCATTATTATGAAGGCCCCTACATTATACATTTTAGGTACTGCCCCCATACAGTAAGAGTCTATGACAAGTCAACTACTAAGGTCCTTATATATCTATATTATGAATGTTATTCAACTATTACTGAGTGGGGGCCGTACCCAAAGTAGACTAGGATGCGATTTGGGGGGTTCCTTATTATCATGATAGTATAATATACCCCCAAAACCCTACTCTCATTATTAAGGCCCCTATATCATAGACCCCTGGTATAGATATATTAGTTCGGGTTTCAGGGCTTCTTGGGGCCGAGGTGCGGAAGGCCCTGAAGCAACACGGATGGAACGGCCGCGCGTGACCTCGCTGCGCTTGCTCTTCATTTTGGGGGTTTAGGGTTAGGGTTTTGGGTTTAGGGTTCAGGGTTTAGGGTTTTGGGTTTAGGGCTTAGGGTTAGGGTTAGGGTTTAGGGGGAGGGTGTGGCGACGTTTCGGTGTCTTCGGATTGCCGAATCACAGAGTTGTTGTGAGCCCTTAAACCTTTAAGCCCTTAAGCTCCAAACTCCTAAACCCCCAATCCTACTTGGAGGTTCAGGGGTAGTTAACAGTGGGGTGATAAGGAGGGTAACTATACTTTAACCCATATTAGGGGACTTATAACCCCACTTACTATATAACCACCAAGTATAAGCCCCCAAACCTTTCAGCCCTTTTTAAACTAAAAGATCTTGGGCTTCAAAGTTCGGATTCTCTCGACTGCAGATCTGAATGCTTAGGGCATGCCTTACTCAAGGATCTCTTTGCCCTCCCGTCGTCAACAGCGTCACTCCTTGGCGACTCCGAAATACGCTGCTTTCCATCCTGCTTTCCATATATAAAGGGTCATGGGTTCTCATAATTGGGGATCTCCTCATCACGGTATCTACAGCTTAATGATTGCATGTGCATAGCACTCTGAAGCCAAATACGTGTTGCCCTGTTTGGAAACACCCATGCAGCAAACCCAATGGCCTGAAGAGCTAAAGCCCTTGCCAAAGGTGTAATATAGGGACCTGAAAATTAGAATAGGGTTTTGGGGTCCATAATGCCTAATTAGTGAGGAGCCCCCCCCAAATAGTATAGGTAATTACTAACGGCCATAATATTAGGGGGCATTGGCTTTTAATTGGATTTAAACTCCGAGTTTGCTCGTGCCTTTGCTGCCAAGGTTCCTTACCGGACATCCGCAAGACCTCATGAGTCACTGGGCGGCAGCGGCTCTTTTTGCGGTTGCACTTCCCAAGTATTTGGGTCCCCACTCCCGTGGATTCTTTGGGTTCCTTGAGTTCCCTAAGGTCCCTACTTCCGTAAACTTGCACGGGACAAGCTACGACTCTAAATTCCACATCCTCCTTAGTTCCACGAACCATGCGCAGGAGTGCATGAGTTTTCTTTTTTATCGTCTCCGTACTTTCGCTAGATCGACACACACAATGCACGGGCTACTTAGGTGTTCAGATTTCCCGAACTCTATACGTTTACTAATTTATTTAAGCGCCCTGGTTCCATGCACTATGCACTGGACTGCTGGGTTTTTTTGGTTTCCTCACTCTCCATAGTTAAATTAATGTCGACACACCATGCGCAAAACTACACGGGTGTTTAAACTTGATCTTCTCTACATTCCCCAAGTTGCCTAAGTGTATGACCCCTCGACGGACTTCCAGAAATTCAGGACGTGGAGGGGTGGGTTTGGTGGGGAGAAGTTAGGGAATGTAGGGAATGTATTGGGGTTTAGGGTTACGGAGCTCATGGTTTAGGGGTTTGGAGCCCAAGTTGCCCACCCCGTGGAAAGTCCGTCGTCAGGCTTGCTGGACAAGCTGCGCCAAGCACAGATCAGCATCTTTGCTTCAAGCAGCTGTGTAGCCCAAAGGATCCTAAGTACCTTTATGGCAGAATGTAGGGTTTCCGTAATTGGAATTACTACTATGATTTGGGGAGGTATCCCCCATAACAGAACCCTTAAATCCCCTCAAAAAAGCCCTTGAACGGACCCCTATAGATCCCTTACCGGAAACCCTTAAAGTGTCCCCCATAGCAGAACATAGGACCTTTGGGTAGCACTCCTCCGTTAGCACTGGAGATCTGCGAAGAAGCTCAAGAAGACATAGTAATACGATGACAAGTCCCATATACCCCAGGCCAATGGTACAAAGCTCTCCGAAATCTTGTCCATTTGCTTCGATTTCTTACGGTTGCTATTTGGGTGTTTACAGATCCTTCAGGGGTCTCAGGAGGGTTGGAGTAACGAAGTGCTACTTTGGCCTGATTGACAGCCCCAGAAGAACAGTCAAGATCTCAATCGCTTATATGGTACATAAGTATAACTCTACATATTTGTATATGTACATGAGAACAGTTGAATACAGTTATATTCAGTTAACTATTAACTTAACGTTCATAAAGGGACATGACATGCCCAAAATATAGTTTATAGATCCTAGATCGCATGATCCTTCTTGTCGGGATGATGCCTTTCCCTGGCTGAGGTTCAGGGGTAGTTATAAGTGGGGGTATAAGTCCCCGAATATGGGTAATATGTATAGTTACCCTACTTACAACCCTACCCTAAACTCTAAACCCTATAGAACCCTTAAAGGAACCTCTTTTAACCCTAACTTATGACTACCCCTGAACCTCCGAGCAGGCCCTAAACCTTATACCCTTATAGAATCCCTCTAGATCCCTTTAAAGGAACCCCTAAAGGGAACGCTTCTAACGACCCCTGAACCTCCAAGTATCCCTAGCTGAGGTTCATTGGACACAGCTCTCGAGACCGAGGCAGTTATGCGTTTGAGGGGTAGAGGACATGTTGAGCTCATTGCCATTGCAGTACTTTCACATGTTCTTTTTTGTCGGAACTCAATCTGCATCAATTGTTGCTGCTGCTGATGCAGCATTGCTGCATGCTCCACTTCCTGTTACGACGATGAAAATGACGATGATGCCGACTTCAACCAAGACTACTACAGTACTAGAAGGCTCTAAACGAATGAACAGAGGAACTGCTGAAGCTGATGAAGATTCCCGGCGCGAAGTTTGGGGATGTGTATTGCTACCGTGCTTACATCACCATGATCGATTGCAGGAGTCTAGCGGCTCGAATGCTCAGAAATGTGTAGACATGTTCCGATCTCGTAACCCGTGTTTTCAATGTGCTCAGCAGGTCTGCAGAGCGCTTCGTCACTCGGCTTCAGGTTATGCCTCTTTTGGGTGTCATGGACCCAAAACCCTACATAAACCATAAACCTCAAACCCTAACCCCCAAACCCTAAACCCTAAACCGAAAACAAAGGAGATCAGTGGAACAGAAAGCACGCTTCAACTCGTCTTGCCCGTTACCACCATCGTCTGAGAACTTGAGGATGCTGCCATCGTTCTTGAGGGCTAGGGATTTTAGGGTTCAGGGGTTCGGGGGTGTAGGGTTTAAATGTTGTTTTTGTTGTTTTCCAGTGTGTAAGGGCTTAGAGTCTAGGGAGGTTGTAGGCGGGTTTCGGAGGATCGAGGCACCCCCAGGCTCCAAGGGAAGGTGCCCACCCGAAGCCTGCTGTCCGAGGACTCGGAAGGCCATCTATTACTATTGTATTAGTCTTATTAGTCTTATTAAAACAGTATCCCACAGGGTCCAGATCCACTACTACTATGGAATTAGGTCCCAAATGACCATCCTTATTATGGCTTTGGCGACCTATTCCATAATGGTAGTGTGCATGGACCCTCTGGGTATTAGTATGAGCAGTAGTATTGCGATTACTGTTACGCCCTAAATCCAGGCACCCTGAGCCCACACGTTTCGTGGACCCAATTCCAGAGCTTTTGTGGTGGCCACCTCTGCTGTAATGAAGAAACGAGGCAACCTGAGAAGGTGGTACAGTTTAGGGTCTGCTATGACCGCATCCGCATCATCGGGGCCTGCATAGTCAGACCGTAAAGTCGACTCCACAAAGCCCTGCACCACCCGTACACAGGCTTTCTGGTGAGACTCAGCAAGTCGTGTTGGATTTGCGGCTTGGGTCTGCATTACGCATGCAACGGTTCATTGCTTCAGAGCTCTGCGAAATTGCTTTCAGGAAGCTTCCTCACAGTTCAAAGAGCGTTGCATAGTGGCTATGTAATGAAATGGCTATACAAGCGTCTGAGGAGAGTTGTTCAAGGCTTCTTTCAAAGCTTCTGCTCGTACGAGTATTGAATCAGGACTTTAGGGTGAGTCTGGGTTTGGTGGTTTTCAGATGTTGATTTTCTCTTCAGGGTTTCGGGTTGGTACATCAGATTTGGACCTACTATCTGTGGTCCCGGATACTCTGGTCAGGCAGCAAGAAAATCTGTCATGTACTTGGTGTTGCAAGGAACAGGGATTTCCATAATTCCGAGATCCCGCACGAAGGCCGCGAGCTGGCTGTGGCGCGTCTGCGGATCCACCCCTGGGCGGAGCCTCGTCGTACCAGGGTCCTAGTTCAGGGTTTAGGGGTTTGGTGTTTTGGGGATCAGAGGTTAGGCTTTGGAGTTCAGGGTGTGTCGGACCTAGTAGATGTCTCCGGCTCATAAGGTCCTGTGGTTTCGTGTCGAAGGGGTGTTTGGAGAGAGTGTGCCGGGTGTAAACAACAGGGCCCATCACCCTGAACTCTGCACCCTAACCCCTGAACCCCAAATCGCAAAACCCCAAACCCCTAAACCCTAAACCAGAGCAGCCCTGATGGAACCAACAAAGCATACGAAGACTCCCGGTGCGCCTTAGAGTACTCCAACTGAGGGCTTCTCTTCATACAAATATATACCCTGGGAACAGACCCCGTGTTCCTAAACCCTAAACCTACGACTTGGGGATGTGGAGTCGTTTATCGCTGCGCAATTGAAGGCAGGGGCTCTTCTGCTTTTGCGGCCGCTTCGACTCGACCAGACCTTCATAGCAACACGACCAACAAGTCCACTGTACTTCTGAAGGATCCTAAATCCGCAGGATCCTAACTCCGCAAGGCCAAAGTCCGAAAACCTGATCACCTTCATTCCGTTGATTGGATACCCAAAACGATTTGAAAAAGACCCTACAACCCATGACACCCACCCCCCCCGCCCCAGAAAACCCTAAACCCTAAAGCCCCGAGCCCCTAACTTGGGTATGTATAAACCCTAAACCCTATATGCCCTAGACCCTAAAGCCCCATAAAACCCTAAAGCCCCATAAAACCCGAAAGTTTCATAAAACCCTAAAGCCCCAAGCATCTGCATCTGAACCGGTCCGAGGAAATCTCAGGCCTGGGGGCCGCCGAGACCAGCGGTGGAAGGCCTGCTCTAAGGAAGACCTTCTGTCGAACTTATCCTACTTTTGTAAAAGAAGGTTTAGGGTTTAGGGCTTTAGGGTTGGGTAGATTCAGCCCATATACTGCTTCAAAAGGTCTTCAACACGTATGTAGATTAGCTGATTATTCAAGCTTCCAGGGTTTGGGGCTTCTCGCTTAAGGAGCCAAGAGCTGCTTCGGAAGAGCTCCCCACAGCATGATTCGATTAATGACTACTACTCCCTACATCAAACCTCCAGTGGAGATGATCGTAACTCGCAGAAGCACCGACGCCCCAAACCTGCAGCCCTTTAATCTAGTCAGCACGATTTCACTCCACGAAAACCGAAGCTCCTCTAAATCTCATAAACGCACACTCCGGAAGCCGGAAAAAGCTGGTAAAGCTTAAGGTAAAGATTTTTCCTCCCAGTTAGGCATGCAATTCCTGAAGCCGCTGTTACCGAGCATTTATATGTCGCTGGTGCGGCAGCGCAGCTAACCTGTGATGAGCCCCGAACACCTTATAGCCTTATAGCTCTGAACACAGCAGTGCACAGCCAGTTTGCAGCCAAGACCTGCATGTTTGATCTCGGACCTCAAACCCCCAAGCACGAGCTTAAAAGACATCTACGCAGTCTACTCCCTTTGTGCTTGTCCGGGCCAGGCTGTACCTAGCCATCCAGCACGCGGCTGGGCAGGCCCCCCACCAAGGGACACTATCCCAGAAAGCCGTAAACTTCATGGATTAGGATGTATTGCTTCAGGGCTGAGTCTGAGTGTTGAGAACGGCAAGAGTTATCCGAGAGAGAGAGAGAGAGAGAGAAAAAAAAAAACAAAGCACCCAAATGCCATTCAATTGGGGAATCTTCCTGCTATACCGGGCTTCTAGTCGGGGTTATGGGTGTATGCTCCATCATGAAGATTCTTGGGCTCTCGTGGGTTCATCTCTACTGCGAACTTTGAGCTCGAAGCCCTACACATTGCACAAGGTGGCAGAGCTGCGGCAGCAAGCGTCTGCCGAGCCCCTCCAAAACGAAGTGCCACGCGGCTCTTCATAGGGGTTCGAGCATTTAGGCTTTGGATTAAGGGTTTGGGCGTTTAGGGATATTGGGTGTCCCATTGGGCCCATATGCCGATGCAGGTTTCAGCATTTAGGCCTTGGATTCGGGGTTTAGGCGTTTAGGTTTCGGGTGTTTCTGGCATTAGGCATTAAGGTTTTTGGGGCGTGCTTCCCGGGGCTTCCAGGCTACCATAGCTGCGCTGGGATTTCAGGGACGGACACCGCGAAGACACCCTCTAGACTACACTGACTAATTTTATCCCTAAGGGTCCATGTACCAAAGTAGATTTTACTTTGGCCTTAAAGGGGCCAAAGCATATACTATTTGGGTACATGGACCCGCAGGGTATACGCACTAGCAGATGGGTTCCAGTTCAAGGACCTCTTGAAGCTTTGGCTCGCCACCGCGCAGCCTAGCTGGCGATCATGACGAACTCTGATGAAACCCACCTTACCTTTTGGTTCGCAGGGAATGGAAGAATGGTAGTAATACTAGTTATAATTGCATCCCATTCCTCCATTCCCTACTAACCAAAGCTAAGCCGAGCGAAAACATAGGAGCCATAAGCTGTTGAGCTTCTGGAAGAAGACCGGAGCTCATACCGTAAACCGAGGAGCACCCTAGCTGCGTAGGCCGAGGCCGTAGAGCATGCGGAATCTCAAGCCGTTCAGCTATCCCTAAGACTCCATGTGCCCATATAGTATAGTAGAAGCCAGAAAGTTGGAACATGGCTTTAGGAGGATTCGTGCTAGGATCCCTTCTAATTTACCTTAAGGGCATGAGGAGAATGATGTTCCGACTTTCTGGCTTCTACTATAGGTACTCAGGCCTTAAAGGGGGTCCCTATATGGGTACTTGAAGGCCTAAGTACCTACCAAATGGGCACATGGAGCCTTTGGGCTTGCTTGAAGTCTGAGTAGTTCGTAATAATGTCCTCAAGGCTTCCTCAGTACAGCTTTACGATAACTTACAGTAGAAGCCCCAAAGTTGGAAACCCAATAGCCTCGATCCTTAAGAGTAATGCATAGGGAAACCCAGCACTATTTGGCCTTAATCCGGTTTCCAACTTTATGGGGTTTACTGTATTTCGAAACCCTGTTCGGTTTCTCGAGGCTCCTAATTATAGCCCAACACCGCCAAATGCCACACGAACCGAACCCTGAAGCAAACTCAAATGCAATCCTCCAAGTAAGTTAGCGAAACCGAAAGCCTCGTCCCTAAACCCTATAAGCCTCAAGCCGCAGGCAACCGAAAGCCCGCGGCCCAAAACCTGAAACGTGACTCCCAACCCCTGGTATCCTGAAGTCCCAAACCCCAAAGCCGGAAGCACAGGCTCCGAAACGCAAAACACCAAAATCCGAATCCCCACTCGAAACCCCCCCCTCAAAAAAAACAATCGTACATTTATTGTAACACAACCACACATCTTGTTGGTGTGAATGTCCATCGCCCTTCAGTTGACACGCCACCAGCGACAGAAACACGTAGTTACAACCTTGCCTCAGTTTTGTTGGTTCCCTTTTTAGAGGTCCCACAAGCCCCCGAGCTCTGAACCATAAACCCTCTTTTTTGGAAGCCCTAAAACTATAAGCCCTCGTTTAGAAGCTTTAAAAACCATAAACCCTCTTTTGGAAGAAGCCTTAAAGCCACGCAAGGCCCCGCACTACAAAGCTCAATAGAACGGTTATGGTACTCTTAAAGGGACCCTTAAATCAAGCCTGAAAGGGACCAAGGGACCCTTGAAGGAAGCCTTAAAGCCCCGCAAGCCCCCCGAATTTCCTGCAAAATCCAAAGCCGGGGACCAAGGCGAGAGCTCAGCATGCTGGTTCGCAGCCAGGACGCTTTTTTGGGGTTTCAGGGTTTAGGGTTTAGGGTTTAGGGTTTGAGAGATTAAAGGGTTTTAGGGCTTTAGGGTTTAGGGTTTTAGGGTTTTAGAGCTTATAGGGTTTTAGGGCTTTAGGGTTTAGGGTTTTAGGGTTTTAGAGCTTACAGGGTTTTAGGGATAAGGGTTTTAGAGCTTATAGGGTTTTAGGGCCTTAGGGTTTAGGCTTTTAGAGCTTACAGGGTTTTAGGGCTTTGGGGTTTTGTGTAGGGTTTATAGGGCTTAGATAGGGTTTGAGGTTCGCAGCCAGGACCCCTTTTTTGTGGGCCTTTCTCGGGGGTTGAAGTTTAGGGCTTAATGGGTTGTAGGGCTGAAAGCAGATAGCCAAGCAGCGCAGTTCAACACGCCTGAAATAAAATTTTGGAAGCTACCTGATCTTCAGGTTGTGGCTCAGATCTAGTGCGCCTTTAGCTCAGTCTTGGCTTGCTGCTTCTGCAGGCCCTAGCAATGCCTGCGCCCAAGCGTAAAATCAGCGCACCGGCTGCCCCAGCCGACGTCCGCGCGGCGTCATTGCCAGCCGGGTCTGGGGCTGTTGCCGCAGCTGGGTCTGAGGCTGGCGTCGCCGCGTCGTTGTCAGCTGGGTTCGGTGCTGGCGCCGCAGCGTCGTTGCCAGCTGTGTCTGAGCAAGGCTTGGCAGGTCAGTTCTCGAATGTGCTTACCAACTGGTTCGCAGCCAGGACGCCTTTTTTTGGTGGGGTTTAGGGCTGTAGGGTTTAGGGTAATGTGGGTGTCGGTTTAGTAATAGGGTACCCCCCCCCCCCCCACCACCCCCGACCAAAAAAAAATTCTATTTAATATGGAGCCGGTGACGCCGGACAGGGGTCAGGGGTCTGAGTGGCAGGGAATGGGGAGGTGCCGGGGTTTGGGGGCTGGCTTGGGTGCAGGGTCTGCGGTTCTGCGCGAATGCGCGGTCGGGGGTCGGGGGGGTTTGGGGATCACCAAATGATGGAAACCAAGCCCCGATCACTCCAAGATTACTACCAAGACTAAAACCCTTCATTTTGAACACTTTTGCCTCCGTAACCTACACTCCCACACTCCCGCCCACAATCGACCACGTCTGAAGCTTGGTGCGGTACAAGAATAGTACAGTAGTACAATAGTAGTACAGTAGAAATAGTACAGTAGTAGTACAATACTAGTACAATAATAGTGCAGTAGTACAATAGTAATACAACAGTAGTACAGTGGTAGTACAATAGTAGTACAGTAGTAGTACAACAATAGTACAGTAGTACAATAGTAGCACAATAGTAGTACAGTAGTAGTACAGTAGTAGTACGATAATAGTACCGTAGTACAATAGTAGTACAGTAGTAGTACAATAATAGTGCAGTAGTACAATAGTAATACAACAGTAGTACAGTGGTAGTACAATAGTAGTACAGTAGTAGTACGATAATAGTACAATAGTACAATAGTAGTACCACAGTAGCACAATAGTAGTACAGTAGTAGTACAGTAGTAGCACAGTAGTGGTACGATTATAGTACCGTAGTACAATAGTAGTACCGTAGTAGTACAGTAGTAGTACAATAATAGTGCAGTAGTACAATAGTAATACAACAGTCGTACAGTGGTAGTATAATAGTAGTACAGTAGTAGTACGATAATTGTACAATAGTACAATAGTAGTACAGTAGTAGTACAATAGTAGTACAGTAGTACACTAGTAGTACAGTAGTAGTACAACAGTAGTACAGTAGTAGTACACTAGTAGTACAGTAGTAGTACAACAGTAGTACAGTAGTACAGTAGTAATACAGTAATAGTACAGAAATAGTACCAATAAGCAAAGCATAAAGCCGGTGAGCACATTCCCCCAATAAGCAATGCATACAGCCAGCGCCTGAAACCCTAAACCATAAACCCTGAACCCTAAACCCTAACAAACCCTAAACCCTAACGAATCCTAAACTCCTAAACCCTAACAAACCCTAAACCCTAAGCCCTAAACCCTTCCCAAAGGGCTCGTCGGTCCAGATTCGACCCAAAATTGATTTTTTTATACAAACTTTAGTACTGGAGAGGCCTTTGTCGAGCAAGGGTCCAATTCCCAATTCGGCGGTTCACCCTAGCAGCCCCCCCCCAGCAGTACAATAGTACAATAGTAGTACAATAGTAGTACAGTAGTAGTACAGATTCTCATTCCTGACGCCCCAATAAGCGAAACAATTCTGCAAGAGATTTTCGGGCTTCAGGGCAAGGGTTTTAGGGTTGGGTGGGGGTTTGGGTGGGGGTTTAGGTCGTGGCTGCCTTAAGATTGACCATCAGCAAACAGCACAGCCCCGCCACCAAAAAGATCCCCCCAGCCAGAGAAAAACGCATTAATTAGTACCCCCAAATTTTTGGTCTTAGCCCCGGAGCCGACGCATTAAAGGGGCCTATATTCCAAAACCGACACCCACATTAGCGAGGAAGCTTCTTGTGGGCCTCTTTATGGGGCTTACAGGGCTTTGGGGTTTAAGCGTTTAGGGTTTTGGGGCTGTAGGGTGTTAGGGTTGAGGGCTTTAGGGTTTTGAGGTTTAGGGCTTTTTGCGCCTAGGGTTGTTTAGTTTTGGGCTTGTGTTTGGTGGTCTTAGGGTTGCGGTTTTAGGCTGCGTCAGGGAATACAGGCTCGTATCAGGAAGTGCAGGGCGTCAGGCTTCACGAGTCAGCTTGGGAGGCGGGTTACTAAATGGACATACATAATAGGATAGGGCTTTTACAGTTTAGGGGTTTGAACCGTACCTATATATAGTGTAACCACGGCACTTTAAAGCGTATGTACCAGTTTCTTTCTGGTAATTTACCGTTTTACTCTACGTAAACCCTAGCCCTAAACCCTAACCCCTAAAACCCTAAAGCCTTATCCCTCAACCCTCAACCCTAAACCCTATCCTTAAACCCTAGCTGCATCTTTTTCCAGCCGCACCCTGCACTTGGAGGTTCATGTTTCAGTAGGGTAACTATACTTATAACCACATATTAGGGGACTTATAACCCCACCTATAACTACCCTAACCCCTAAACCCTATATAGAACCCTTAAAGGAACCCTAAGCCCCTATATACCCCCACTTATAACCCCACCTATAACTACCCTACCCCCTAAACCCTTAAACCCTAAACCCTATCGAACCCTTAAAGGAACCCTAAGCCCTCTGTATAACACTTCGTATAAACCCTAAACTCCGTAGAATCCCTATACAGCCCTAGAGAACCAATTATGGGAACCCTTATAACCCCACTTATAACTACCCATGAACCTCCAACCCTTATTCCTTTTGTCAGGCTTCAGGTTCCCTTATACGCCCCTTTAAGCCAAAACAGGGCACCCTGTTTCTCGGTTGCTCTTGGACCTAGTCCAGGATGTTCTTCTGCGACGCTTGATGAACCGCCGCTACGCCGGACTTTCCTCGTCGTCCTCGCCTGGGAGGCTTTACTTGGGCCCCCTTGGGTCTCTTTAGGGGATTCCTTAAGGGGATCTATGGGGTCTCTTTAAGGGTTCCTTAAGGGGATCTATGGGGTCTCTTTAAGGGATTCCTGAAGGGGGTCTATGGGGTCTCTTTGGGGATTCCTTAGGGGGATTGATGGAGTTTAGGGTTTAAAGGTCCCTTCTTCGGTTCTCTAAACTACTTGGAGGTTCAGGGGTGGTTATAAGTGGGGATATAGGATTCCTTAAAGGGTTCTCTAGGGTAGCTATAAGAGATGGTATTTCGGGGCTTAGGGTTCCCTTAAGGGTTCTATATATAGGGTTTAGGGTTTAGGGTTAGGGTAGTTATAGGTGGGGTTATAAGTCCCCTAATATGGGGTTATAAGTATAGTTAGCCTACTTATAACCCTACTTAGACCCTCCAAGTAGGGCCGTATAGGGCTTGAGAGTACGTGGTCTAAAGTTACCTTATTTTGGGGGTCCTTAAAAGAATGTCATAAGGATCCGACTATTCAGGGTACTATGTTGAATTTCAGGGTTTAGGGTATCTATCCACAGGCTCCTAAATATGATCCCGCAAAAAGGAACTACAATGGAGCCTGTAGGTATAGGTCGTGAGGTTAGGTTTAGAGCCTTGGATTAGAGTTGTAGAGTTTAGGGTATAGGGCTTAGGATATAGGGCTTGAGGTTCTACGGTTATGTAAGGTTTAGAGCCTTGGATTAAAGTATTGATTAAAGCCATAGGGTTATGTCTGGGATATAGTATAGGGTTTATAGGGTAAAGGATCTCAAGCAGTCGATGCAGCGCTGCCTTTGGGCCCCACCAGGAGCACTATAAAACCGTAGAGCCCTTCAAGTATCGTCGAGGAACCCCATGCAGAACCACTACAAAGCCTTCGTACAACTCATCCACACCTGCCACATCTTGAAGCCGCCACAAACAATCTGAATATGTTGCCCATCAGAACCGGTACTGGTAACCAAATCACCTCCAAACAAAGCTACAACTCCTCCAACAGCCTTTTAGAATCTAGACCCTCGAAGCCGCGCACCCTAAACCTTGCAGAAAATTCGGGGTACTTTATTTTGGGGTCCTTATAATCCTACTATTTAGGGTACTATACTAGGGTCCCCTATTTTTGGAAACTCCCATTTCATCCTTCCAGGGACCCCAAAGAACCCTCATAGGCAATTATTAAGGCCCCTACATTATAGTACCCTTGTAGATCCCTTATAGTAACCCTTATATGGGTGGTGGTCAAAGTTATGGTTCTTTTTTTGGGGTCCCTCATTTAGTACGGCACCAAATATGTAGGGTACCCAAAAAGGGACCATAATCTTGACAACCACCCATATGGCTCCCTAGACACTTCATCCTTCCAGGGACCCCAAAAAGACCCTTTGTAATTTCCTTAAGGGAGGGGGGTCCAAGGGGGGTATATAGCCTAGTGATCCCTAACTCTCCCTAGTACTCCCTAAGGTTCCCTTACAGTCCCCTAAGGATTCCTTATACCCTCCCCCCTTGAACCACCCTCCCTTAAGGATCCTATAAACCCTCAGGGGCAAACACTCAAACTCCAGAGGCGACTCCATCGTGTGCCCGAGGAGCAGCTGGGACGAGCCCAGGCAGGTTCTTTAAAACCTAGTCTTAGATAGCCAATGGGGGAACTTTAAACTTTTTAGCCTTATATATCTGGTCTATCTTAGAAAGTTTAAACTTTTTTGGGCCCGATTATTGAAGGAGAGAGTAGTAGCTGAGTGCATACACTTTACACTTTTGGGAATATATAATATTACCCACTATAAAACTGAAAGTGTATATACACATTTTGGGGCTCATGAACTCAGCAACTAAGAAAAAGTTCTGGCAAGGGGCTTCAGGATTTGCGGATTCGTGTGTTTCTTTAGGGAGGGGGTTGAGAATTTCGGTGTTTTTTTGGAGAGGTTAGCCATGGGCAGGAATTTCCCGAGATTTGACCCTAAACTTCACACTCTGGAGATGTAGCCCCGAGCGGGTTTCAGTCGGCCTCCGCGCTTAGTCGACGAGGGATCGCTGTACTTGGAGGTTCATGGGTAGTTATAAGCAGGGTTATAACTAACTTCGAACACGAACTGCTTCGCGCTGCGGGCCTCGGGGAAAGTCTGTTGAGACTTAGGGTTTAGGATCAGGGTTTAGGGTTTATGATTTGGAAGTTTCCCAAAATCCAGGATACCTTACTTTGGGATACTTGCAATACTGGGTGGGGGACAAGCAACTGACTGAGGCCCCTTCCATCAAACCCAAAAGCCCGTACTCCAAACCCTAAACCCTGTAGAACCCTTACCGCACCTCCAAATTCAACCCTTACTACAGCACCCCTTCAAGGAACGCTTACACACTCCAAACCTTAATTTAGGATCTAGGGTTTAGGGCTTACGGTTTAGGATTTGGGGTTTAGGGTCACTACTCGCAAAGAAGTTTCCACACAAGTTGCTTTGGCGGTGTAAGGTTTCAGAGTGTAGGGTCTGGGGTTTGGGGTTTAGGGTCCCTGCTGCTTTGTTTTTTTTTAAGGGTTAAGTTTGCACTCGATAAGTTTAATGACCCAAGTTACACACATAAAATCCTATTTAGGGTTCAAAGGGTTGAAAAATAGGGTTTGTGGTTTAGGATAGGGCTTAGGGGCAGATGGGCTCAGGGTGCTTTAGGGTTTTAGTATTTAAGGTGCTTGTATACCGTGGGGGTCTGTAAGGGTGCCTTGGGGTCCTGCGTCCAAGCAGCGGACGTCGGCCAGGACAATCCTTGCCATCGACCAGCGTTTGGAAGTGGGCACCGAGCGCTTGAAAGGCTACAGCAGGCGGGCTCTCCTCGCCCCTCAGCCGGACAAAAGTGAGAGGCCTACCTACACCATTGATCAGATCGAGGAAGCTTTGACGACACTCAAGGCAAGCGAGCTGAAGCTGAGCACAAGCAGAAGGTGCCAGCAGCTGTCCGGAGTGTCTCGCGACAGCGATGAAGAGTTTCAACTGTTGCGGTTGCAGCTCATCGAAGAAACATGACCCTCAGTGCCTGTTGCAGAAAGATTTCGGCAAGCTTAAGAAGGACTATGGTTATGGCTTATAGAGTTTAGTGTTCCTTCCGGCTTAGGGTTTTAGAGTTTAGGGTTAGGGCTTGGGGATTTTTGGGGTTTGGGGTTTCAGAGTTTAGGGCTAGGGTTTTGGGGTTTAAGCTTTTAGGGTTTGGGGTTTAGGGTTTTAGAGCTTAGGGTTTAGGGGCTTAGGTTTCGGGGTTTGGGGTTTAGGGGTTCGGGCTTGGGGGTCTTTAGGGTTTGGGCTTTGAGTTTTCGGGCTCTATAGGGTTCCTTCAAGGGTACTTCAAGGGATCTAGGGTTTGGGGTTTAGGGTTTTAGAGAGTTTGGGGTTTCAGAGCTTAGGGTTCGGGCTTAGGGGTTAGGGTTTTAGAGTTATAGGGTTAGGGCTTGGGGTTTAGGGGTTTAGGGCTTTTAGAGTTTAGGGTTCGGGCTTAGGGCTAAGGGGCTTAGGGCTTGGGGTTTGCAAACCCTAAGCCCTAAACATGTGGTTTTTAGGGCTTGGGGTTTACGGGTTTAGGGTTCGAGCTTGGGGTTTAGGGCTTGGGGTTTAAGGGGGTTTGTAAGCCCTAAGCCCTAAACATTTGGGGTGTAGGGCTTGGTCGGGCCTGGGGTTCACGGTTGCGGGTTTTGGAGTTTAGGGTTCCGGCTTGGGATTTAGGGCCCGGGTTGGTTTAGAGTACAGGGATGGGTTCAGGGCAGAACAAGTTCAAAATTTACCAAGATCATGTCGTACCTACTTATACTATGCTCTAGAACCCTATTTCAATGATGACGGTCCCTACACCACCCAGAAAGCCCAGTAAAGCACTTATCAGTCGCCCTTTAAGAGAACCGTGATAACAACCATTAAGGGAACCACTCTAATGATTACGGCCCTACATGAAGTGCTTGGGCCAGCCCAGATGTGGGTGCAGTTTTTTTTTTTTTTATGCGGGTATCGGGTTTTGATTTAGGCCTTAAGGTTTGGAGTGTGCAAGCGTTCCTTGAAGGGGTGCTGTAGTAAGGGTTGAATTTGGAGGTGCGGTAAGGGTTCCACAGGGTTTAGGGTTTGGAGTACGGGCTTTTGGGTTTGATGGAAGGGGCCTCAGTCAGTTGCTTTACAGTTACGAAAGGTCGGTGGGGCAGGCACCCTAGCCTAAGATAGACCCTAAACAACAGGATCCTTCTTCAAATCCTGTTCTACCTACTTCGACCCGTATCTTAGACTCTTGCATTGCAATCTTCAGCCCTGAGACGAGCCGACCACTCTCAGTATGCGCCGAGCCAAGTCCTAGAACTTCCTCCAACAAAACCCTAAGGAGTTTTGTGTTTTAATCCTTCGACACCAAAACTGCTGGAAGCTCTAGCAAGTGGATCCAAAAGGCTTAAACCCTGCCCGAACCTGCCCTCAAATCCCGAAACCTACTCTGAAAACAAGAACCCTAAGGGTCCAGGAACTCATGTGGGTGGTTGTCCCGTTTGGGGTCCATGATATGAGCCATATTCTAAACTCTGTAATAGATAACTGGGGGTTACAATAGGGATTGTATAGGGGACTACTATAGGGATATTAAGGGGATAATAGGAGTTTAGACTATAGCTCATATAATACGACACCTACACATATAGGCTACCCGGAAAGGGACCCTAGAATTGACGACCACCCATATAGTAAGTATATACGTAGGCGTTTTGAAGTAGTCCCCTGGGTTTCGCTGAGGGACTGAGTCAAGGTGAGAATTTAGGGTTTGGGGTTGAACTTAGGGTTAAGAGTTTTGGGTGTAAGTTTAGGGCTTCGGGTCAAGAGTCTAGGATATCGGTTTTCAGGGTTTCGGGTGTACCGGAACACACTCTGCCCAACGCCAATAGTGTATACTTAGAAACCCATATTAGGGGACTTATAACCCCTCTTATAGCTGCCCATGAACCTCCAAGTAGGGCTTTGGGGTTTGGTGGACTTTCGCTCGGGCTATCAACTCTCAGTAAGTGGAGCCGCACTGCTGCCAACAGCAACAACAGCAGCAGCAGCAGCAACGGCAGCAACAGCAACGACAACAACCTCTACTACTACCATACTACCACTACCATGACCACATTCACTACAACTACTACTACTACTACTACTACTACTACTACCACCCCTACTACTACCACCCCTACTACTACCACCCCTACTACTACTACTACTACTACTACTACTACTACTACTACTACTACTACTACTACTACTGCTACTTTACGTCTACTAGCATAGTAACAATGATATCAACAGTATTACCACCGCCATGACCAAGACACCACTTCCTACTACTGGTATGACCGCTACTGTTAACTAGCTGGTGTTATACACACCTTTTCTCATCATCATGACTCTTACCGTTAGCCTTATTAATCTGAGCAGTCGTACGAGTGGTCTTGTTTGAGTCTCACGGTCAGTGCAGAAGCCCTAAACCCTAAGCCCCGAACCCCCTACAGTAAACCCCGGAAAGTTGGAAACCGGGTTAAGGCCAAATAGTGCTGGGATTCCAGATACATTACTCGTAAGGATTGAGGCTATGGGGTTTCCAACTTTTGGGCTTCTACTGTAAACCCTAAACCACGAAACAGGTGGCGCATGAACGGCCAGAGCCGACCTCCCCGTCCAGCGCGGCTGCCAGGGGCCCAGTGAAAATTCTAGATCTGCCTTCGAGAGTTTGGGGAAAATTCTGGATCTCCTTAAAGGATCATGGGACTTAGTAACTAGGGTTATTATTATTCGGGTAATTGTACTTGTAACCCCAATTGGAGCACTAAACTACTCTAAGGGCGGCGTTTCTGCGCGGGCTACTTTATATAGGCACTACGGCACTACGAGGTGTTAGGGTTTATGAGTGGGTTCTTTCGGTTGGGTAGGTGTTGACAAGCGGTGCAATTCTCAGGAGTTTGCAAAGGATGTGCACCGTTTGGTCATGGCTCACCTTAACAAGAACCCAGGGAACCCTTAGGGGAACCCCTATAGATCCCTTAGAGGGACCCTTAAGGGGTCTTATAAACCCTATAGGATGCCGGGCAGAACTTCGAAGGGTCAGACTTTCTTCAGGCTCAGGGCACGGGTCCCGCAGTCTCTACCCTAAGCCCTAAACCCCTAAATCTTACACCCCTAAACCCTAAACCCCTAACCCCTTAACCCCTAAAGCCCTAAACCCTTAAACCCTAAACCCCTAACCCCTAAACCCTTAAACCCTTAAACCCTTAAACCCCAAACCCTAAACCCCTAAACTCTAAACCCTGAACCGTTCTACCCTTCAAACCTGCCACCCTCAATCAAGCCGACGAGCAGAATCTCTCAAACCGTAACGACCCCAAGACTCCAAACTTTGTTGGAGGTACTATGGGGGCCGAAATAATTACCTATACTATTTTGGGGTTCCTTATTATAATTATAGTATAGCGGGCCCCAAAACCCTATTCTAATCATGAAGGGGCCCCCATATTAGGGGCCAAAGTTCAGCTCGGACGAGCCAAGGTTAGCCCAGAATCCTCGCCGGCATGTTGCCGACAGGCGGCGTTCCCGGGGTGCGTCCGTGTGTGCATGCGTGTGAGTCTTGGAGGTTTCATGGAAGTCTCATAGATTGGGGTCCGACTAACTTGAATCTTCCATCCCTTAGGACAGACATCACCAAAATCAGTTCGAGAACTGAGCATGGGTGTTTGGATTTCTGGATCCGAGCTCTTCTCTTCCGAAAACCGAAGAAAACACCCTGAAAACTGTCTTCGGTCACAAGTCACTCTGGTCGTCCTTGCGGATGCCTGCATTTTGTCAAAATCTCTGACTCTGCGCCCTCCGGAAATCCTAAGCAAGGCCGCTTCTAGAGCTTCACCTACAGTCTCCAGTGTTCCTTTTTTTGGTTTAGCAGTTCCCTTTTGGGCTTCATATTTAGAATCCTATGAGGTAATCCCAAAAAGGAACTACTAAAGGAAGCACTATGGAGCCTCTGGGTAAACTCTAAACCCTAACCCCAAACGATTTTTCCAGAAACCCTTAACACCGCGCAGTGGGACCAAACTAGACCCATCTGGATTTCTCAGATCCTGAACGTTTCCTCGAACTCCTACTACTTCTGGTAGCCTTGGAATTCAGGGCCCACCGACTGACCGGTCCCAACAGTCTTGCAGAGCGAGTCCTTGCCAACCTGCCGCGTATGGTCCCTGACGGGATCCCCCCCCAAAAAATGAAAGCAGCGGAGGCGGATGAGGACCTTAGCCAGCCCTCGACAGCAAGATCTTTGCGCTCTGTCCTTCGGCCCTGAAAGGATGAAATGCGTAGGGCATACTGAAGGGGCATAAAACTAGGTTCCTGACCAGTACCCTTTAGCTCTTTTTATTGTATGGTTCCCATCTTGAAACTGAATAAGAGCAAAAAGGGTGCATATTATTTATCATTATTACTGTTATTATTATTATTTAGGGGTCACTCAGGAATCAGGAACGAATAATGTTTTGGGTTTCCTCATTATAAGTCTAGTACAAGCCCCCCTAAGCCTTGATCTGGCTACTAAAGGCCCCTAAGGCTAAGGCTTTGGGCTTGAGAGACTCCAGGGCTTTGAGTTTTCAGAGCTTTTTACAGTAGAAGCCAGAAAGTTGGAACATCATTATCCCCATGCCCTTAATCTAAAGTAGAGGGAATCGCAGCACTAATCATCCTAAATCAATGTTCCAACTTTCTGGGGTTTACTGTATACCCCAAAAGCATTACTTCAATTTCTTCAGGCGCCTTTTGTAGGGTTTCTGGCTTTGGGCTTCAGAGACCCAGGGTTTGGAGGTTTCCGACTATGACCAGGACCCAGAGATAGGCCCTCATTCCCTTTTTTTTCGGGTTCAAGTCCCCTTATAAGCCCGCTTTAAACCCCAAAGGGCACGCGTTGTTTGTTCCTAGGTTACTCTTAGGTCTAGAAAAGGCATCCTTTGAGGGTTAGGGTTTCTGGATTTGGGGTTTTAGTGTTTACTCTTGGGTCTAGATGAGGTTTGGGGGGACTTATTACTAGGATGCCCAGTAGTACCCTTATTCCCTTTTTGTAGTCCTAGGTTCCTTATAAAGTTACCCAATACCCAGAAGAGAGGCCTTTTTATTCTTAGGTTACTGGGTAGCCTAGATTATCAGTCAGGGGCCCGCAGTATCCAGGATCCTAGGCTCCTGGGCCCCAAGTCTGAGTCGCCTTATAGTACTTGAAGGTTCCGGGGTAGATCGAAGTAGGGTTATATAGGGGCTTAGGGTTCCCTTCAAGGGTTCTATAGGGTTTAGGGGTTTAGGGTAATGATGTGGCTTATATGCATAGTTACCCTACTTATAACCCTACTTGTGACTACCCATGAATCTCCAAGTAACCCCAAAAAACAGTTGGAAACCGGATTAACGACAGTTAGTACCGGGATTCCCCTACGGTATACACATTACTCATGGGGATTGAGGCTATTGGGTTTCCAGCTTTTGAGCTTGTACCGTAAGCACAAATTCAATCATCCGCGAACCTAGTCTGAATATAATCTTCTTGCGGATACGTCACACAGCACATAAGCGAATGACCTTGGACATCTATCATCTATCAGACCCATCAGACCATGAACATCCTCTATGAAGGACAGCAAGGTTATTGAGTGCATCCAATCCCTAAATCCAGCATCCTTAAGCCCCTGCAAACCCTGCACCAACAACCCGTACTATAGGCAAACACTATTGTGGGGTTTCCTTATGGTTATGGTATAATGTGCCCCAAGCCCCCTATTTTAATTGTTAAGGCCCCTAAACCCTAAACCCTGAACTGTAAACCCTGAACCCTAAACCCTAAACCCTAAAGCCCAGGGCAGCAGAGCAGCATGGTCCGATGCGCGCGACAGCTACAGCAGCGCACCGTTTGGGGCCTCAGTTTGGTTTGGAGCTTAGGGTTTATGGTTTTGGGGTTTAAGGTTTAGGAAATGTATAGGGTTTAGGGTTTAGGAGATGTAAGGGTTTAATTAGGCGGTTTAGGGTTTAGGAGATGTAAGGGTTACAGGGTTTAGGAGCTGTAAGGGTCGCCGGGTTTAGGAGATGTAAGGGTTTCAGGGTTTAGGCTTTGTTGGTTTGGAGATGTAACCCTAAGGTTCCAAAGGATCCAATAATTAGGTACTCGGTTTTAGGAAAGTATAGTTATGTAGGTTAGGATTTTGCAGAGTTTATGATTATTGGGTACTTGGACTCTCGGGGTAAGGGTTTCAGGGTTTAGGCTTTGTTGGTTTGCAGCTTTAGGGGTTCAGGCTTAAGGGTTTAGGGTGCCCTATGCCCCAGTTGGCCTTCAGAGCGCAAATACAGCGCAGGATGAGTTTAGTTTTTGCACAAGGATGCAGTCGTATACCTTGTGTGCGGCCCCGCCTCACTAATAGTGGGCAGAAACAGAAGCACAAGATGAAGCACCAGGGAAATGCTGAAATGTTGACTCGTTTGTGATCATGCTCGCATGATTGGAAAACGCAAGACTGAGACAACAAGTAAACTGCCACCCCATGAGTTGCAAACACAGTCACACCCCTGTTGTTTTCTCGGATTCGATCTTGAGCAAACATCAGGAGCTGCAATGCCTCGCGACTACGGGGGACGGGGCGGGGGGGCTGGGGGTGCTGGGGGGGGGGCTGAGGGGGCTGGGCTGGAAAGCTGAACGGACCCGGCTGGGGCCGGGCCGGGGTCTGGGCTCTTCGACCAAGTTTAGTACTGAGAGGCGTACCCGGGCGCGACATTTCGATCACAGAGACCTCTTTTCTGTTGTGCTTTTCTTGTGCTCGACGTGGTCCGATTGTGTTTTTTTTTTGTGCTTTTCTTGTGCTCCAAAAACCAAATGGGTTTGTATGTTTGTGTTTTTTTCTTTTCTTGTGCTTTTCTTGTGCTCAAAACGATCCGGCTGTTGTGCTTTTCTTGTGCTCGAAGCGGTCCGATTGTGCTTTTTTTGTGTGCTTTTCTTGTGCTCCAAAAACCAAACGTGTTTGTATGTTTGTGTTTTTTTCTTGTGCTTTTCTTGTGCTCGAAACGATCCGGCTGTTGTGCTCTTCTTGTGCTCGACACGGTCCGATTGGTTTTTTTTGTGCTTTTCTTGTGCTCCAAAAACCAAACGTGTTTGTATGTTTGTGCTTTTTTTTTGTGCTTTTCTTGTGCTCGAAACGCTCCGGCTGTTGTGCTTTTCTTGTGCTCGAAACGATCCGATTGTGCTTTTTTTTTGTGCTTTTCTTGTGCTCCAAAAACCAAACGTGTTTGTATGTTTGTGCTTTTTTTTTGTGCTTTTCTTGTGCTCGAAACGCTCCGGCTGTTGTGCTTTTCTTGTGCTCTGTCTGTACTCTTTCTGCAATCTAGGCAGGCCTCCGGGCTCGTTTCCGCAAACGTGTTTGCATGTTTGTGCTTTTTTTTGTGCTTTTCTTGTGCTCGAAACGCTCCGATTGTGCTTTTTTTTGTGCTTTTCTTGTGCTCCGAAAACCAAACGTGTTTGTATGTTTGTGCTTTTTTTTTTGTGCTTTTCTTGTGCTCGAAACGCTCCGGCTGTTGTGCTTTTCTTGTGCTCGAAACGATCCGATTGTGCTTTTTTTTTGTGCTTCTCTTGTGCTCCAAAAACCAAACGTGTTTGTATGTTTGTGCTTTTTTTTTGTGCTTTTCTTGTGCTCGAAACGCTCCGGCTGTTGTGCTTTTCTTGTGCTCGAAACGCTCCGATTGTGCTTTTTTTTTGTTCTTTTCTTGTGCTCCAAAAACCAAACGTGTTTGTATGTTTGTGCTTTTTTTTTGTGCTTTTCTTGTGCTCGAAACGCTCCGGCTGTTGTGCTTTTCTTGTGCTCGAAACGATCCGATTGTTCTTTTTTTTTGTGCTTTTCTTGTGCTCCAAAAACCAAACGTGTTTGTATGTTTGTGCTTTTTTTGTGCTCCATGATTTCAAAACACATTGGCGCGCGGCAGTTCTGGTGCAAAATTGTCTCTGTCTGTTGTGCTTTTCTTGTGCTCGACGCGGTCCGATTGTGCTTTTTTTGTGCTTTTCTTGCTAGTTTTGCTCTGTCTCTCTGGCGGCCGGGCCAGTCCAGTCCCCGCGTCCAGGCCGTCTGAAAGAAGGTCTCCGGGCCCAGGTTGCGATGGTAACGAAACCGTGGTTCCAAACCTCTTCGCTGGTAAGTTGCAGATAGCTCCTCCCAACCTCTTCGCCGGTCCGACCCCATCTCACAGCCGTAATCGCCATACTATGCCAAACATATTTGGATTCAAAACACTGCCTGGCCCTGGAAAACCGAATGAGATCAGATTTCCTTGTGCTACTTTTGGCCTGTCTGTTTGATAATAAACCTATTTTTGAACTATTAGTGGGCCGGGGCCCCATCTAACGTATACCACTCTATCCGGGCTCCTCCGGTGGATTTCGGTTCAGCTGGTGTGTGTCGTGTAATGTTTTTTTCTTATAGGTCCTACAAGGGTTCTCAAAGGATGTCTTTCCAAAATTTGACAAGGGGCATCGTAGTTGCAAGGGCCCAGAGACCCCAAGCCGAACTCACAGCTTCAGCGTTTCTATAAGGGTTATCTATGCGCATCAAGTTTTAACAATTTAGTTCGTTTGATGACAGATTGCTCAACACACTCTCCGGCATAAAGTTACATGTTACAAGCAACCGGCAGGCCCAAACCCTACACGGTAGTTTCCGAAACCAGGGGACCCTGATACAGCATGCAAATAGTAGGATCCTTGATATCTGAGTTGCTGAAGCTGTAGATGCATGATTGAATTAATCGCACACCTAACCGGACAGAGCTCGACGCAAGCAAGCAAGGATCCTTGATATAAGGACCCCCAAATAAGGTACCTCAAATTTTCGGAAACTCTAAACCCTAAACCCTTTATAGAACCCTCATAGATCCCTTTAAGGAACTCGTATAGATCGGAATAAAAAAGGTACCTCGAGTTATCGGAAACTCCCACACTTGAAACCTGGCGAAGGGGCTTCCGACTTGACCTTCGCTCAGAGACGGCAAGCTCCCGGGGCTGCAGAGATGTCCTTTTCAACAGGGAAGGGGTCTCCTGGTCTTAGCACCCTAAAACCCTAAAGCCCTAAACCCTCAAAATTAGGGTTGGGTTTTAGGGTCCTAGGGCTTAAAAAGCCGGCTTGTTCGTTTGTCTTCGTGTGTGCTTGTTTCTTTGCCAACTTGCTAGTCTAGCTTAGCTCAGCGCAGAACTTACTTTGCTGTAAATGGCGTTTTGCTTGGCCATTTGCTTGCTCGCTCGTTGCCTGCGTGTGTGTGTGTGTGTGTGTGTGTTTTTGTGTTTGTGTGCACGTGTGTGTTTGTGTGAGTTGTACTCGGGTTCCATGTTGTACAATCGTCTGTCTGCATAGTTTGGGGTCCTTGAAACTGTGTCTGGGCCTTGAATAGATGTCAGCTTGGTGCATACGGCAACGTTTTTTTGTGGGTTGTGCAGGATTGAAGACGCTTTCATTGGATGCTGGTTAGGTTCTATTTGTAAAGGTCTGGGCACAGCTTGACTTGAACCCCCAATGAGAAATCATCAAATTAGCTTAAGTGCTCACTATCTAAATGTGTCGGTCGTTCTAAGGGCGATAAACACTTTATTGGGTCTTACTGCCATGGTCGAGCCGTGGCTACCCGACTTGCAGAACTTGTAGAACCACTCACAATGCACATGATCCTTCGGGCTGTCGAGACACACCCGATAATCCTCCAGCAAATATGATATCCTCCAAAGCCGACGGCCGGGTTTTCGAAGCTTCAACCGCGTCCTCAGAATGGCCAAGCCCGGACCTGGAGCCTCCTTAAGTTATACTAGGATAGCGCTTTGTGCAAGCCTATGCAGCACCTGGAGTCTTGCTCCTTTTTCTTGGCCAAGGTACTGTGTCCGTCCAGCCCTCAGCGGCTTCTTTTGTCCCTACCTGAGCCCCCCTCCCCCCCACCCATGTGTAAGGATATCACTCCCCCCCCCCTCAACTATGTAAGGCTTGTAAGGTTATCATAATTAGTTACGATTCCTAGCAAATCCAGGTTCTATTGTCGAGTTTTATACTAAATCCTGAAACTTTGCGAGAGGAGGATTGCCGAGTCATTGCGCATGGGAGCTTTGAATGCCCGCAAAAGGGGCATAGCTCAGGGCAGTATAACGGGTTGTTCAGGCTTCATAATAAGTTTTGAGTTGATGAATCCGTAGTTTAAATGTCGGGGCCTTTGTTGATCGGAACAATTACTGTAAATACTTATAAGTAGCTGAGTGGATACACTTTACACTTTTTGGGATAATATCACCCACTATAGAACTGAAAGTGTACACTTTTTGAGGCTTATGAACTCAGCAACTCAGATTAGGGCTTGGGGTGAGGAGAGCATGCCTTTCGGGGCCTGTGGCAGTGCTCGGGACCTTTCCGAAAACAGGGGACCCTAATATAGTTCCCGAAATAGTAGTAGGATCCTGATTATAAGGACCCCAAAATAAGGTACCCCTGCTTTCGGAAACCCCAATTTTGCGGTTGAGGCAATGTAATAAACAAAGCGCCCGCAAGATGCGGACGGCCGAAGAAATAGACGTGGCTGCGCATCGCGGGGTTCGCCAGGGAAGCCAGTCTGACCCGAAGCCATTGTACACGGACCAGAGCAGCGATTCGCTGACGAAAGAGCTGCACACCCGGTCAGATGAACAAATCCCAACATGGTAATGTAGGAACCTGATTAAGAAACCCTGGGCCTATCACCCCAAAATAGTAGGATTCATACAAGGAGCAGGCCCAAGGTTTCTTAATCAGGTTCCTACATTAAAATGAGTCGCAAGACGCGAGGCGACTGCTCCATACGAGGAAGGTGTTCGAAATTCGAAATACCCCAACAGCCCGTCACCCCTAATTACTTGAAACGTCCATAACATCCGCACAGAGTTTATTAAGGCAGAAGCTGATCTCGAATCCCGTCCTGCAAGGCTAAATCGGACCCTAAATTCAGAGGGATGATCTAAACGTTGATCTTAGCCGTTATTTCGCCACATGGCATATTGCCAAATACGTTTTAAGTGATGCGGATGATGCCTGGCGAGCCCGAGATGTTCTGGTTTGGGCTTAGGATTAGCTGTATACGGTTTTCAGGGTCTAGGACATTTTTTGAATTCTGGCGCTACGGAGTTTTATAGGGCGTAGGGCGTAGGGCATAAATGTGGCTCGAACAACCCACTTATTGTTTGGATAATGTATAATTGTATGGTCGCGCGCTGCTAACTTAAAGGAGGTGGAGCTGCAACCGGGCCCTGAATTCTAGTGCGTTTTGGTTGGGGAAATCTGCTTTGTGGCTAGGAGCTTCCGTATACACGGCGGTATTGTGCCCATGCGTCTGGTGAAAACTTAAACCCCTAACCACCTAAACCGAAAAAAACAGCCGTGAGTTCCTTCTCTGAATCTTCGGCAGCTTTGCAACATCTAGCAGCCCTGCCGGACGTACTTACCTATGCTATTTTGGGGCCAAAACCTTATTCTAATTATTAAAGCCCCTATGTTAGAGCACAAGAAGAAGAGATGGGCCGACACTGAGGAAGCTTCCATGGGTGCCTTGTCACCCCACTCGGCGAACTCTTCAACGCCTCCACCGTGGCTCGGCTGAAAGGGCACAGAAGGGGTTAAGGCTAAGGGTCTATGGCAGTTAGAAGTCCAGAGTGTTAGGGGTTTAACAGATCTGTCGGCAGGCTTCATGTATGTTGTGTAGTTTGCCCAGACTGTCTCAATTCAGGTTCTTAATTTGGACCTCGGAATTCATGTTTATAGCTGCTTTCATGAATGTTCCCAGGTTCCGTGATCTTTGCTTGCGTCTTGCCTTTTGCTGGCAGGACCGTGCATCATCGGCTCTTGCGCCCGCCGTCGGCACCTCCAAATCCCAATGCCGCGGCCCCAAGAATTGGTCCAGGGTGGGGGGGTTCATGATGCTGTTGTTCCTGCTGTTGCTGTTGCCGGTGCTGGTGCGTCCGGTGGTGCCGGTGCATGTGCCGCTGCTGGTTTTGGTGTTGGTGTTGGTGTTGGTGTTGGTGTTGGTGTTGTTGTCGGTGTTGTCGGTGTTGTCGGTGTTGTCGGTGTTGTCGGTGTTGTCGGTGTTGCTGTTGTCGGTGTTGTCGGTGTTGTCGGTGTTGCTGGTGTTGCTGTTGTTGTTGTTGTTGTTGTTGTTGTTGTTGTTGTTGTTGTTGTTGTTGTTGTTGTTGTTGTTGTTGTTGTTGTTGTTGTTGTTGTTGTTGTTGTTGTTGTTGTTGTTGCTGTTGTTGCTGCTGCTGCTGCTGCTGTTGCCGTTGCTGTTGCTGCCGCTGCTGCTGCTGCTGCCGTTGCTGTTTCTGTTGCTGTTGCAACTATTTGGCAGTTTTCCCTTTGTCCTTATGTAGTTATTTGCACAAGTTCCCCAAACCGTTTTCTGATCCCTCAACCGTGCACGTATATTATACCCTATTCTGATGTTCTAACCGTGTATCAGAGACCCACTCTGACTGCATTTCAATCACTGGGCTTCTTTGACGCTCGTTCTCGTTGGTTTAGAGTTTAGGTCTTTGGAAAATTTGTTGGTTTACGGCTTTAGTTTTAGGTTTAGCGCTTGGGGTTTACAAGCAGGGTGAAGAAATCGTTGAGGCTCTCTACCTGTAACAGGGGGCCTTAAGAAGTACCTATACTATTTTGGGGGTTCCTTGTTAAAATTATAGTATAATAGACCCCCAAATTCCCCCCCTGGTGGACTGGTCAAGATTAGCAAGTTCCTTCATGCCATTCGCGACCCTAAAACCCTATTAGTATTAAGGCCCTTATAGCCTTATTGTTAGGTTCTGGAGTTTTGGGGTTTGGCGCTTCTGAAACACTTGGGCTTGCAGAGGTCATGAACGTTGCGGAGCAGCTCGTGCAGATGTTGCAGGCGGTTCTTTCCCTTATGGGAGGGGGCTCCAAGAGGGGTAGAAAACCCTACTATCCCCCAGTTACTAGCCCCAGTTCTCTCTAGTGCTCCTAAGGTTCCCTTAACGTTCCCTAAGCGTCCCTTGTACCCTCCTCCCTTGAACCACACTCCCTTAAGGACCCTATAAGTCCTTGGCTGCCAAATAAGCGAGCTGAAGGTGATGGCTTTGCAGACGACGGAAGCTTCAATGCTCCTTAAACTGCTAGGTTTAGGGTTTAGGGTTTAGGGAGGTGCCCGGATCCTCAAAATAGCCTGAGTTTAAAGGACTCCAGGACAAAAGCCTTATTAAGTCCGAGTCCTTTGCCCACCCAGCCAACCCTGGCCTAGCCCGTATACAGGGAGATCAGGGGCATGAGGAATGGTTTGAAGCAGCTTGATCGGTGTTAAGACTCAGCCTATAGCTGCCTCACTTGTAACCCTCCTTACTGAGTCACCTATAAGTAGCGGCCGCGAATACGAACACCGAGTCACATCCCCACACTTTCCCGTAAGAAGCAGAACACTGAGTCCTCACTACCTACCGGCTCTATTGTAGTTCCGTTTCGTGGTTCATATTTAGGATCTAATCCCAAAAAGGAACTAATTACAATGGAGCCTACCTTAACCCCAAATCAACTAACTTTCTTAAGGACTCATAGAAGGAAATCGTTGTAAGGAACCCTAAAAGGGTAGGTTCCTTAGGGTCTAGGTATAGGTAGTCACCAGCAGGTCCAACAACAGCTCCTGTCGACGATAGGCCCGGCGTGGCCTTCCGGTTCGAACATCCCTAACGCAACGGCTTAAATAATTACAAATACTATTTTGGAGGGTCCTTATCATAATTATAGTATAGCGGACCCAAAACCGTGTTCAAATTAAAGGCCCGTGTATTAAACCCTAAACCCGAAATGCAAGAACCAACATCCCAACGACTTAAACTGTGAATTCCAGCGCTGGTCGGTGCTGAAGTGGTTGAAATATGTTTAGGCTAGACCGGGCCTGTCCGATGCTAAATTGAGGAGGGTGTAAGAGGATGATGACCCTAAACCCGAACAGACTTGATTTCTGCCATGTGCAATGGAAAGAGCTGTAGTCTCCTGCAGCCACCAGTTCAGCTTCCCCTCTCGAGCCCTGCTACCGTTGACAGGTTTCCGGTTGCACGCGGCTTCTATGTGTAATACACATACACATACATGCAGACATAAGTATATCCACATATAAACATGTACAGTTAGACAGCACCGGTAATCTGTATGTACATGTGTCTATGCTCATAGTATATGTAACCTCTACGGAGGGTCCACTGAACTTGCGTATGGGCACTCGGGTTGAGGTTTGGGATACTGTGTGTTAACTGCCGATCCAGCTTTTTTTTCTGTGGTTTTGGTGCGATAGGTAAAGTCAGGCGAGCAGGTTGTACGCAAGACCGCATGTATAGAGCTGTGCATTGAGTACTGTAGTATTCTTGAACCGAGTGCCGTCGTATTCGGGGCCAGAGGCTGGCGTTCTGACCGTACCTACTTGCGACCAACTACGGGTCTGACCTAGTGTAGCATACTCGTATAGCTAGTAGAACATACCTTTTGTCCTGGCTTCTCTGGCCTCTATATCAGGGGTTTGTCCTGTATTGACGACCGCCGTCGAATCCTGAAGCGCTCAATCCTGTGAACTTAGGGTTTTAATTTCGCCGAAGCTTGGAATCAAATCCGAAAGCACCAAATCTAACCTCCTTAGCTAGACCGTTGGGACAGCTTTTCCTTTGTTTATATGGGTATAATGGCAGAGGAAGATCCCAAGTAACAGCATTCGTCCATGTTTTTCCCGCGGCTTAAAGCACAAACATGTTTCTCGATAATCCAGAAACTAGTGACTTTCATTCGTCGAGTGCTGGGGTTGAAGGATTTAATGCGTAAAGGCTTTAGGTTTCGGAGAGTGTCTACGCTGTCGGACTGTGATGTTTGGGATCTAGAAATTTGCAAGTTCTGAGGTTTGACTCTGAAACGTTGTTACAAACGGCTAGGGCTTAGGCGGAGGACGGCGCAGAGGCCGGTTTAGGGTTTAGGGTCTACGCAGGGCATGTGGTTCTGGCTATAAGGGTCTAAGTGTATGGCTCATGCACGGCTCAAAACCCCGGTAAATTCCAGAAGCAAAGCCCGTGACCTCCACTGCTGATACACTCCACAATACAAGCCTTAAGCCCGAGCTTTATTTGGGAGTTTGCCAAAATGAGGGTACCTTATTAGTTGGGGTCCTTGTGATAAGGATCCCACTATTTAGGGTACTATATTAGGGTCCCCCAGTTTCGGAAACTCCCATAAACAGAACCAAAAACACCCTGAACACCCTCCTCAAACCGAAATCTGAACTCCTATAACTCTTGAACCCTAAACCCTTACACCCGATCCTTATATAAACCCTCACACCCAAAACACCTTGAAGCCCTGAAGCTGGACGTCCTGGCCAGGTGCTCCACAGCTACCACCGAATGAAGCCCCACATCAGGCGCGCGACCTTTCCTTGCGGCCGGACATGTTAGGGCTTCATACGGTTGATGGTATAAATGCTGCATTGCCCATAATAAGGGGTAGACCATAATTCCCATAGTTTAGCGTCCTTAATTAATGCAGGATTTACATCATCAACCGTATGAGTTTAAGGGTTCAGGGGTTTTCTGGTTTGTTGTTTGTAGGCTTTGTTTCGATGCAGAAGCCGAAATTGTCAATCTTGATCTACAGTCAGATCGCCTTCTTGGGCATTGCCACTTGTGTTTCCTACAATCCATTCGAGACTCACCCGGTCCCCACAAAGCCCAACCGTTCGAAGTATAATGGGGAACGGGGAGGGGGTGCGTACCGAGTATGTTGTACTGAATACAAGCCGTTACCATGTTGTTTTTCGGTTTCTAAGTCTATACGCCCAATATCCACCAACCACCCTGCCGCTCGAGCCTGGAAGCCAGAGTTGGCAAGCCTCCACAGTCCTGAATCGATATCGCTTAAGATAAAGCCTGTTTTCCTAACCCCTAATCATCTAGGATGAGCTTATGAATATAGCCTGCGGAGTAACAGCACCAGAAATGGTAGCAGCGATTGGTTTGACAATAGTGCCGGCAGTAACCCCACACCCTAAACCCCTACACCCTAATACCCCAAACCCCATAAACCCCTAAACCCTAAACCCCCTAAACGCTAAACCCCTAAACCCTAAATCCCTACACCCCAAACCCCTAAACACTAATCCCCAAGCCAAATCCCGAACGTAAACGACTCGACGTCTTTGGCCCGACACTAAGCCCCCAAGCCTTGTAGAATCCGCTAAGACGAACCCTTATGGTAGCCCTATATGCCCTGTCAGCCCTAAAACCCATATGTGGAACCTTTGTAAGCCCTTACCCAGAGGGTCCATCTACACTACCATGATGGGTTCAGGTACCAAAAGACCATCCTATTATAGTTTCGGGGGGCCTAAGTCCATAATGGCAGTGTATATGGACCTTCTGATTTACGATAAGCCGAGCAAATCCTTCCAGGGATTGCCGTCGTCACCGAGTGCAGAGCCACAGCCTCGGGCATGATTGCAGCTTGTGGATTTCATCATAGGGAAGCTTAGGGGGGTAGGGGGAGAGGCGTAAGGGACTATACTTCCTTAAGTATAGGCCTTATTAAGTCCATATTTCTGGAATTAAGGCCCCCTACCCCCCTCCCCCTTACCCCCCTATGAACCGAACCCTGAAAACCTAAACCCAAAACCTTAAACTTCCTTGTGATTTCGAATGGTTGATGGCTCGGGGTGCATGGGATTGCAGTGCGCGAAGGCGGCACGACCTTCAGGTGGCTTTGGCAGTCGAAGCGATTTGCCTAATGGCTTTAGAATATGGTTCCTTTAAAAGGGGTCTATAAGGGTTTCCATGAGGGTTCTAAGTTTTATAGGTGCCTTAATAATTAGAACAGGGTTTCGGGGGTTCATTATGATTATAGCAGAATGTACCTCCAAAACCCTCCTCTGATTCTGAAGGCCCCTTTTTTGGGCAACTCCGGGGCTTGGACGGAAATGCCTAAAAACTTAAAAACCCTAAAACCCCTAAAAACCTAAAGCCCCTAAAACCCCTTATAAACCCCCGTTACCCTAGAAACCTAAAACCGCCCGAGTGGAGCTCAGGAGCCAGCCCTTCATGCAGCAGGCGGCGCTGCTGTGCGCTGCCCTCCAGCAGGCGTTGGCCTTGGATTTGGGGAGTCTTCGAAAACTAGGGCTACCATACTTTGGGGTCCTTAGAATAAGGACCCTACTATTTAGGGTACTAAGGCGTTCGTTGGATCTGGGAGGGTCGTTTGTGGGCTTTAGGGCTTACCTCAACCGTGAATAACCTACCTTTTAAAGGTTCCTTTTCTGATTTCCTTATGTACGTCCTTAAAATGGTAGTTTAATCAGGGTTAAGGTAGGGCTTGGGGTTTAGGGTTAAGGGCTTTCTGGGTTTCAGGATTTCAGGGTGTAGGGTTTAGAGGGTTTGGGTTTAGGATTCAGGGTTTGGGGTTGAGGGTTTAGGGCTTAGGCGGCTCAGGGTTCATGGTATAGGGCTTTGCATGGGTTTAGGGTTGTTTAGGGCTTAGGGGTTTAGGGGTTCGTAGGGTTTAGGGCTTCGGGCTCAGGGCTTAGGGTTTAGGGTGCTTGAAGTGATGGCAACCCGGGACAGTAAGCCTTAAACCCCCTAACCCCGCCAACCCCCGAACCGATTAGTTCAACCCGAAAGCCCAAACCCCAAGGCCTTTATGGAACCCTTGTCGAACATTATAGGACCCATATGGCGACCCCATTGCAACACAAGCCTAGGCCCTAAAACATTTACATAACGACATAACCCTCACACAAGTTGCGTGTGAAAGCCTGTGGTTACCCGAAGAGGCCTCTAGACACCCTGAGCCCTAAATCCCAAACCCCAAAAAGCTTCCGCACACTGTTATTGGGGGTTTTAATATAGGGGCCTAAATAATTGCCTATGATATTTTGCGGCTTTCTTGCTATAATTACAGTATAATGGGCCCCAAAACCCTGTTCTAATTATTAAGGCCCCTATGTTAGCGCCAACGCCGCGAAGGTGGCCGACTCTTCGCCGAGCGTTGCGTCGTCGTCGCGGCGGACGACGCAGTCAGAGCTCTGACTGTGGCGGCTCGACGATGATTATGGTAATTATGGGCATGGTTGTTAGGGTTTTCCGAGTTAGGTTTAAGCTGCTAACGTTAAAGGTTTTGGCATAGTCTTTGTTAGGGTTTTAGCGGTTTAGGATTTAGTAGATGCGGACGCGTTACAGGAGGGACTTTTTTGATTCAGAATGGATCTGCCAGAACGTTAATGTTTTAATTTCACTCCTTGCCTTCGGGGTTTCAAGCAATCTAAGTTTCTACTAGAGTGGAGGTCTGTATCTGCATTAAATGTCAAGAGGCAACGTGGTATGTAAGACATGCTGAACCCAGAATGCACGCAGGCTGTAAACCCTCAATCTCTACACTGCCCCACTACCTCCCACCCGTCTAAGCCCCAAGCCTTCAAAGCCCCAACAGCCGGAGTCGCCTAAACCCTGACCGTCTAAACCTAACCGAAGTTCCTAGACCCAAAGTAAGCCGGTGAACCCTAAACCCACTCCCCCATTCCACACTGTCTGCACAACCCAAAGCCCACAAAGACTTAATGTAAGAACCTGATTAAGAAAGCTTGAGTCTTCATCTGGGTTCCTTAGTTGCATGAATCTTATTATGTTGGGGGCTATAGGACCAGGATTTCTTAATCAGGTTCCTACACGAAACCCAAACCTCCGCAAACCCAACCCTAACAACCTCTAAACCCCGAACCCTAAACCCAATGCCCTCAACCCCACAACCCTTTGCACTACCATTAAGGGGCCCTAAAAATACAGCCGTATAGAAACCCTAAAACCATGACCCTCAAGTCCGAGGTGGACCTTGTTGACCAGATCCTTGGTCATCAACGGCAAGATGTTGCTGGGAGGTGTGGCCTGCGTTCTCTAAAGCACCTGAATTTTACAGTAAGGAATACTCGTTCTCTAAAGCACCTGAATTTAAGGAATACTCGTTCTCTAAAACATCTGAATTTCAGGAATACCCTTGATAGGTTTGGGGTTTAGGACTGAAAACGTAAAGACTTAGGGTTCGGGGTTTGCAGTAGGGGCTGTGAAGGTTTAGGAGGTACTGAAGACCTTTTCTAGCTGTTCAGGCCAGGATTACACCAGTATTACTGGGTGTTAGGATTTGGGATTTAGCACGAAGTCCGCGGACCCTTCATTCGCTGTTGCAACAGAACGAAGTCTCATCCCTACACATCTTTGGCAGAAAGGAATTTGAGAAAGCAGGGACCTCCCGCCTAATATGGACCCTCAACAGCAGGATACCACAAAAAGTATCCTTTGCTGCAAGAAAACCCCACATGCCCCAAGCTGTACTGATACCAGCCCATGTGAAGGCGGTTTAGAGTTTAGGGTTTGGGCGTCGGGTGGGGTCGTGGAGTTTCGTGAGCCTGGGGTCTCTACAGGTCTGAAGACTCATTATGGCCCTTCTGGAGACTTGGTGGCTGAGTAGGTAACCCTTAAGCTTTTGGGGTTCATATAGCTCTACCAGAATTGAAAAAGGTGGGTCTAGACGCAGCTCAGCAACCATGAATCCCGAGCAGACACACACCTTCCACACAGCAGACACCCATTAGACCATCTAGTCTAAGCCCCCGACATCCACTTGGAAACCTTCATCGATATGGGAGTTTCCGAAATGTAGGGTACCTTTATAATATGGATCCTACTATTTCGGGTACCATGCTAGGGTCCCCTAGTTTCGGAAACTCCCACATGCCCGAAAGGCGCCCTGAAAGGACCTTACGAGAAGCTTCTCAAGCCTTTCTCCAACAGCAGGCACACCCTGGCGGCGAGCCGAGTCTTGGCATCGTGATGCCTGGCCTTCGTGCGAAGCGGCTTTGATGAGAGTTTGCTTAGGTCTTTAAAGCAGAGGGTTTCATGTTTACTGCTTCGCTTGTTGGGGCTTGTGGTTTCGGAGGTCATGGTGGTGTAGTGCGCTTGTCAGGTTGGTATTGTGGGCTATAGTATTTGCAGAAAGAGCTTGAATGCTCGATATACTTTAGATTGAAGCTGCGTTAAACATCCACATGTTTTAGTCTTGCCAAGTTCCACAGTGTAATACCATGGAGGTCAAGCAGATATGTGGCGACAAAGATACACACAAGTAAATCCGGAGCCTTCTTTCACCTGACGGGCTTAGGGCTTGGGGTTTAGGGTTTAGGGTTCATATGCCAAGGATGGTGCCTAAACCTAACAGCTACAAAGCTGAACCCAGCTGCTAAGCCCCAACCTGCCTTGACTTGGAAACTCAGACGGCTTTACACCGCGTTGGGGGTGTTTTTTCGGATCTTGGAGTTAGGATTGGCATGCACTTTAGGGATTTGGAGTTTCGGGGATAGGGAAGGTATGCACGGATGGATCATTTGACCTGCATTCACGCAGAGTCCTTAGTTTCGGGCTGCCGCAGTCCTTTGCAGAGGGTCCCCCAGTCTCTCGACCCTTTTGCTTAACGCTTTTGGGCTTGGGAGTTGTAAACCTGCTAACCAGAAACCTTGACCACATCGTTCTTCCACATGCCCTGCATACATACCTACCGCAAAGTTACGCCCAAATGCTGTTTCAATCATATGGCGGCTTGGAGTCCACTCCGAGGCTCTGAAGCCTTCAACACGGTTTCGGGCTTAGGGTTTAGGGCCTATAGGGTTTAGGGTTTAGGGCCTGCAAGACCCTGCTCCTGATTTTCAGATAAGAGCCCAAACCCGAAACCCAGGGAAGTCTACACACCATGGTAGGCTGCGGAAACGAAAGCCGAGACTCTACAGGACTCAACCACCCAAAGACTCCAATATCCCTTAGTTAAGGAATATACCTTAAATCATATTAGGGTCCTATTTTAATTTAAGGAGTATTCCTTAATTAAGGGATATTGGAGTCTCTGGGCAGCATCCCCAAACCTTGCACAATTGTAGAGTAGCTAAGGTACCTTAAACAAGGGTAAATGTACCCTTTTGGGGGGCAAATCTTTATCTGAAGGGCACATTGCTGGGTTCAGGGTTTAGTTTTTAGAGTTTAGGGTTTTCCGGGTCTTATCCTTTCTTCACAGGTAATTGTACGATTCTGTTGGGGTCATGTCCTTCTTGTAAAGGCTACACTGGGTTCAGCCCTCTTCGCTGACTTATGGGAAGCCCTTAAAGCCTTATATAGAACCCTTTGAAGGGATTTCTGACGGCCCTTAAATTGAGCCCTTATAGTAACCCTTATAGACCCTTTATATGAAACCTTTACAGGAACCCTATTCTAGTTATTTAGGCCCCCTGTTTATCACTCTAGGAGGAGCACGCTTCGCAGAAGGCTCTCGCCAGGCCGATGCTCGTTTGAAGTGCTGTCCGTACAAAGGGCAGGTGAGATCCTTCTGAAAAACAGGGGATGTATATACCGAGTCTATTAGGGTTTGCTGTAGGGTTTTTTAGAGCTTAGGGTCTAGGGGCTGAGATCCTTCTGAGAGTTTAGGGTTCAGGGTCTAGGTTCTGTAGGAGGGGTTCCGAGGTCTAGATTTATTTTGTTCGGGTTTAGTTGTGGTCCCAAGAGCCTTTGCTTTCAGGGTATAGGATGAAAGCCTGATGTCTGTAGGGTTCGGGACTGAGCGAATCCAGGAGCCTAGGATCGTGAGCTTTGGGTTTCCTTAAACACTCAAACACCAAAATCTAGTTTTCTGATTGCTGGTCTTGCAGTTTGGGAGTTTGGGTTTGGGAGGTCTTGGCGGTTGGCGTATAAAGCCTCGCATCATTCTGAACATTTGCAAGGAGAGCAGAGCAATCCCCAAACTCCTGGCAACGTTATACCGCAACAACCATTGCGAGGGAACGGTGGGACACCAACAACCAACTTCTACGAACTTTCAGAAGGCGAGTACCATTTTCGTGGGACGAAACCGCCGTGGCCGCACCGAGGCGTGTGGCGTCACGGCACGAATCGAAGCTCCGACATGACGTAGGGTCCATTTGGCAACTACTACAGATACCTAAACCCCACACCACTCCACGAGTTTATATCCAAACCCAATCAAACCCTAACCAGGAAGCGGTGCTTCGCTCCCTTTGACACCCCACTTCAACCGAAAAGGCTCAGTCCATCTCAGTCCCTAAGATGCTGGAGCCCGAACCCGCAACAGGGTTTATGGTTTAGTGTCTGTAAAACAAAGTTAAGGTTTGGGGTTTATGGTTTAGGGTTCGTAAGAACCATGTACTGTATCCACTGCCGATGTTACATTCAGTGGTCTGGCGTGTGTGGAGCTTTGAACAGTGTTTGTGAGAAGCCGGACTTCATCTTGTCTTTCTGCCTTGTGGGCGTTGAGTCTAATTATGAGGTTGATGGTGGAGAGGGGGTCATGGTTAAAGCTATGATCATGGTTCAGTTGTGGCATTTTTGGTTACGCCTCCGCGATGTTGGGGTACAGTGGGAGAAGGCACTAAGTTAGTACCCGGGACAAATAGTATGCATGTGCAACAGGGCAAACCATGGAAGTTCAGGACCCTTATTATTGCAGAGGTCCCTGCTTCCGTAATGAACTCTTACTCAGGCCCGATATGTTATATTACACCCTACCCTGAACCCAACATGCTCATATATATATATATATATATATATATATATATATGTGTATGTATATATATATATATATATACACACAGAAGAGGAGGCTGTGGGGCCTGCGTTTTGGCAACCCACTATTTTCAGATATGTACCGAAGCCCGCGCATGCTCGAGAAGTCCGTCGGAAGGCCACAGGCCAGAACGATTCTGGCCCGAAGCCAGTTTTTCATGCCACACGGAGCCTGTCGAACCCTAAGACTCCATGAAGGGTTCAGGGTTTAGGTTTCTACTTGGGGGTTTAAACCCTTATATAGCCCCAAACTCGATATTCTTTGGAGTCTTAGGACACTTTACAGCCAGGCTTTTCGCAGAGAGGGCCTGTTGAGACAGCGCTGGGGTACCTAAAGGAGGAAGGCGGAATGAAGCCAGGTTTGGCTTCATGCGTAGGGTCTCAGGCTAAGGTTTTGAGGTTTATAGTGCAGTCTT